CAATGCACAAATACAGGGGAAAGCTAAGAACCTCCCTAGGGGAGCACACAAGTAAGCAAGATGGAACAGGCTATCCCTCTGAATAAAGTAAATGTTACAACTGCCAACAGATCAAAATATTTTGCTTGAATTATTTGTTCCTTAATGAATTTGCTACATTGCATATTAACGGGTTTTTTTTTAAAAAAAGAAAGGTTATTTCAGTAAACACTGATTATTTGTTATCACAAGAAAAAAAGTATAATATAGCAGCACATCATTAATTATAATAGCCCAAGATTTATCATTAAATTGCTACTCCATCTAATTACAATTGCCCCTGCAAGATTAACATTAAATTGATTTATTTTTAGGTTACTCCCAGGTAACAAGGCTTTTATTGTGCAGGCAACACTACAGTCACAGAATTATACCTGGGGCTTAGATGGTATGGTTTTTATTACCTTCCTGTGTTTTTCCACATTTTTTCTCCTCTCCTCTCCTCTCCTCTCCTCTCCTCTCCTCTCCTTTCCCCTCCCCTCCCCTCCCCTCCCCTCTTTTTTGCCATTGAAAATTTATTATGGAGGCAAAAGTTTTAAAATTTCATCAGCCTTCCTTATGAAAACAGCCTAGAGCTTGATAGAGATGTAAAGCCAAATAAAAGGATTTATATTATTTATTTATTGCAATAAATTTATTATTTATTGCATCTAATAAATGTATTGCATTTATTAGATGCATACTGTTATATGTTGCTAAATTATTATGTGGACCATAGATTTTGAGTTCAGTTTTATATTTCATTGTAAAGTTCTCAAAGGAAAGGAATATAAAATACTGTAGCTTAGAAATGCATGGCAAAAGAAAAAAAATATTGGAAACTGATAATCTAACATAATTTAGATACTTAGATAAATTTTTTTTCTTAAAATAATTTTTGCAATTTATTTTTGCAAAATGGACTCTGTGAGAAATCTGTAAGATAAATTTAGAACACAAGCAGATTTGAAGTAGAATTTTATATTAAACATATATTGTATTGAGTACATATTAAGTATACTGTAATTATTTCATGATAAAGAGAGCTGTAGAACAAATTGCTGGAGGAAATGTTGGAACCCAAGAGTCAAATGAACGATCATTTACTCAGGTGGTTCAAATCATGAGACAGACTCCTGGCATGAGAGAGACTGGTGCTGAGTCACTTTCCTGTCCCTTTTAGCTTGAGGTCATCCATTAAAGTTATCCTTAGTCTATATATTTATTCATGAATAAACCCAACCAAAACAACCTTTTAAAGAGTATTCTTTTGTGTTAAATATATTTTTGCTTGCTCTAGCCCTTTTCAAATTGTACAGTGTAGAAAAGGACAAAACCTTATTGGGAGTTTCTTGGGAGGTGGGGGCAGATTAAAATCCAGCCTCTGATCTCTGCATGCCACAAGTCTTCAATTATCCGCTCTTCTTGCTGCCAAAATTTCACTGTTATCTTTCAACTGTGGAGTATTTTAACAAAAAAAAAAAACAACCCAACAACTGAGGAACAGTTCCTTACTTCTCTGCTCCAGTCACAGAACTGCACTCCAGCGCAAATGGCAGAGGCAGCAGATCTAGTTTTGTGGCTGAGGCTCAAGGCTTCACATATGCTAAAATGTGACTCGGAGCGCTTTGCTTTGAAGCCTAACCACAGCCAGGGAGCTGTAATTGCTGTCTTTGATTGCACCGACTTCACTTGCGGGTTAGGCTTTGCTTGGGCTTGCCTGGGTTGGCCAAACTTCAGCTGCAGCCCTCCAGTGGAGCCTTAGATGTGGGAAGTCTTCCGTCTCTGTAGCACATACCTGTGGTTTCTTGAAAGGAATCCTGGCATGACCTGTTTCATATCTGCTAGGAAACTCCATTATGTTCCTTCAAGGCTCCAATCAGTTTATCGGTAGGAAGTGGAAAGGATCTCCAGTTATTGTCAATTTTTAGCTAGCAGTTACAGGAGGCAATGTTGTTGCTGGTATCATTTTTATTGGGTGAAGGACTTCCATTCTCGGACTTAAGCAAAAGACAACTCTGTGGGCTGCAGAATTTAGGTTTAAATAAGTAAAAAGCGGAGACGTACATTTAAAGTTTGGCAGTACCCTCTTCTAAAAAGTAGCACTCACATTTTCAGATGTATGAAAATGGGGTCCATTAAGAATAACTGTGATGCTTGGAAAGAAAATCACAGCTACAGTCAACGTCAATCCCATTTCTGAAAAGGGCGGTCTAGAGAAAGACCGGACATTATTTTAATCTTCCCCACTTCAAAGAAAGTTTTCTGGAAAGAGAAAGGGTGTGAGTTGAGGGGACGGGAACCCATCTCAACAGAAGAGCATTTCATTTCCTACAGCAAGGAATATTTTCCCGGCTGTAACGGGAGAATTGCTCTGAATTGCTCTGCTTGTGCCGTGAACTGCTGGCTTGGTGCCTGAAGGCTATTCCTCAACAGGAAACAGAATGTTTTAATGTAAGACTGAAAGGAAAACCTTCCCAGGAAGAGCAACCTGGACCAAACCTTTGAAAATCTGGGATGAAAAGGCCTAAAATAAATATAAATCGGCGGGGTGCTCTCTTTCCAGTGGTTTCTTTGCTTTTTTGCTTGGCCTCTTCTCTGTCCTCTTTGAAAAAGAAAGTCCTTCATGGTTTCCTTTGATCCCCTTCTCTTCTTGGGCAATTTTTTTTTAAAGACAGAAACTGATGAGGCTTTTTAAAATAGTTATTATAAGATAATTTTACGATGAAATTAGAATTAGGTGAGTCAGATCCACACCGCTGCAGTTGAATGGGTGGTTTTCTTCCCCAGAGGATACCGGAGTCTGCTTTTTCAAAGGTTAGGAAGATTTAACGTAAAGAAATAGTAAAATAAAATAAAACCTCTGCAAAATAACCTCCTTGCATTGATCATATGTTTATATTCATTCATGGTGGTGAATGTGCATAAGGTAAATGTTTCCTGCAACCTTAAACGCATGATTAATTTAGGGTTTGTGTCAGTGGTGGGTTTCAGAAATTTTTACTACTGATTCTGTGGGTGTGGCTTGGTGGGCGTGGCATGGCTTGATGGGCTTGGCATGGCTAGGTGGGTGTGGCATGGGAAGGATACTGTAAAATCTCCATTCCTTCCCCAATCCAGGGAAAGGTTACTGCAAAATCCCCATTTCCTCCCGATCAGCTGAGACTCAGGAGGCAGAGAATAGATGGGGGTGTGGGACCAGTCAGAATTTTTACTATCGGTTCTCCAAACTACTCAAAGTTTCCGCTACCGGTTCTCCAGAACTGGTCAGAACCTGCTGAAACCCACCTCTGGTTTGTGTTCTTGAACAGTTATTTTCCCAATATATTTATTTTTGTTAGCTACGAAGTCATGTCTGACCCATCGCGACTCCATGGACAACATTCCTCCAGTCCTTCCTGTCCTCTACCATCCTCTGGAGTCCATTTAAGCTCATGCCTACTGCTTCAGTGACTCCATCCAGCCACCTCATTCTCTGTCGTCCCCTTCTTCTTTTACCCTCAGTCTTTCCAGCATTAGGCTCTTCTCCAGTGAGTCCGTCCTTCTCATTAGGTGGCCAAAGTATTTGAGTTTCATCTTCAGGATCTGGCCTTCTAAAGAGCAGTCAGGGTTCTACTTCCTCATCTGTCAGGTGTTTAGTAACCTAGAGTAAAAATGTAATGTGAATGGATTTAGTAAACACATCCATGTTAACATCATATTCATGTTAATACGACATCCTAAAACTAAAGTGTTTTGTATTTGGATTTGGACACTAATTTGAAAGATCAGCTAAGTGACTGTATCTAAATTACTTGGCTAAGTGCTCTAACTTTTATGTAACTAAACTACCTACAATCATATTTATCCAAAAAAAAAAAAAGTGGCTATTCATTCAGGCAAAAGCATAATAGATCCTTGATATATTATTGAAGCCTTTCGTTGGGAGTATCATCCATCATAAATGTTTTAATTAGAATTCCTGCATTGGGTAGGTAGTTGCATTTGCTAGCCAAAATTATCCCTTCTAACTGCTCAGTGGTTTGAAATATTTTTTTCTCCTAACCGATGTGTCCAAATTCAGGGATCTGGTGATCTGCATTTGGATCATGAACTAGAATTTACCGTCATTACTACAGTATTTCTTAGGAGGGACTGTGTTATGAGTTTTCATTTAAAAAATTACATTTACTTAGAATTCAGTGGAGTGTGATATTAGTTCATAAAGTTTATAGAGGTTTACTTCTGAACCAACATCGTCTTCTATTGAATACTTTGTTGAGCATCTGTATATTGTTAACATTAAGCATTATACACAATATATATTTGCTTTGGGATCTAGAGTTCCTAACACTTTTGTTTAGAACTTTGTACGTCAGATTGAATTCTAATTTGTTCCATATATCGGAAGTTGTCATTGGACAATATCTAGATGCATCTTTTGTATAAAGCAGAGTAGCTGCCTCCATCAGGTTTATCAAAATCATATGAACAAATATGCAAGTATCTTCCAGATCTTATCTGGCCAATGTAACCAATGGTCAGGCAAGCTGGCAGTTGCAGTCTAAAGTGTAAGAAAGGAATCAGGTTGCCTAGCCTTGCTCTATCCCAGCCTTCCCCATGTTGGACCCCTTCAGATGCATGGATTTCAACTTTTAGAATTTCTAAGCCGGCATGATAATGCTTAGGTTGTTTAAGGCAGTGGTTCCAACCTTTCATACTCTGTGGATCAGCAGCAGCGGTGTCTGTACTCGGGAGGGAGGGAATGGTTGTGTGTGTGTGCCCACCACTTGTGCAAATGGAACTTCGCGTGCTCATCTGCCACTTATGTGGCCTGGTTCCCAATGGGCTGCGGACTGGTACTGGGCAGCGGACCAGAGGTTGGGAACCTTGATCTAAGGTATTACCTACATAGTAAGAGTATAATTAAACCAATGAATAATACATAGTAAGGTACCTTGATATACAATTCTAAAAAATGTTTACTGTATTGTTCTCTGCAGGTGGGAAGCGACATACATTCTCAACCTGCAAGACGAAGGCAGCGTCATCAGGGCCTTTTCTTGAGATGGAAGCTTGTTAAAATCTCCATGGATGTCCTTCATGTAAACAGGCATATAAGGAGTACGTCCAAGGGTGTCAAATTTTACCCTGGTGTCTCTGCTAAAGACATTGAACCATAAAGACAATCACTGCCATGTCCCTTCACCATCACAGAATTCCGAGCCCAACTCAAAACGGGAGAGCCAAGAGTAGCATTTCAGATCTTCCCCCTTTTTATCTCCAGTCCGCCTTACACTCCTCCATTTGTATCTTCTATGTTGTCAGTGCTGAGTCAACAACAAAATAGTTCAGCTGTATTCGTTTTGCTTTAGTCAAAAGAATGATATAAGGCCACAGCAGCAGCACTGGCTTCCATCTTGCCCGTTCACACTGAAGGAACCAAAACGTAATTTCTTGAGGAAGACATTATCCGGTTTATTTAATGGTGCAAGAGGATGAATCTTGATTTTCAGATTCTAAAAAAGATAAACTTGAATGCTTCTATATTTTAGTTATTGCCTTGGTGTACATTTTTATTGACTTTGAGGTTTTAAAGAAGCATTGAAATCCCCTCCCCCGACGTTTTCTTTTTAATAAAAGGTTTTTAAATAATAGTAGATTTCTTTTTTCCTGTTGGAGAAGAACAAAGCATTTGGAAGATAAAGCCCTTTTGTTTTTGAATTAACTATTTGTAACAGATGAAATCATTGTACATGTACACTAAACACGTGATCCACTTCATCTCTTTATATGTGTAAAAGCAACATACCTTATTGGATCTGATTTCAGTAAACTCTCCTACTCACATATCTGAATTTCCTTGGTTTTTTTTTTTTTTTTAAAGCCCAGCACTTGGATTATTATTACTTCGAATGTTCTGTACTTGTATCTGTTTCTGTTAGCCTGTTTAGTGGGATTTTATGCCAGTTGTTGAAATGAACATTGATGTACCCAAGTTTTTTGTTTTTTTTTTAGTTCAAGGCCTAGCCTTTGCCAAAAAAAAATATGGACAACCAATATATATTTTGTCATTCCAATTTGAGTTAATGTGCTGAGCATTTTTGTTGTTGTTTTCATGTTTTTTTAAAATAAAAGCTTTGTAATAAAACTACAAAATACTTATTTTTTGGGCTTGGTTAAAGTTAAGTTTGGTTCGCTTTGTTTCATGTGGCAGCTTCAGTGGAACCAGATGAAGATAATTTGGTGGTGTGTCTGCTCTTTGGAAATATGTATGTCCACATAGCAGGGGGGAAAAACATGCAATCCAATGTTTTTATTGATGAAAATTATCCTGCTCAACTGAAAGGAGCCCCCTTCCCCATGTCTACTTATATGAGAAAAATACACCTAAGCAAAAAGGGGGAAAAAGTGATGGAAGATTTAAAGCAAAACAACTCTGACACTAAACTTAATAATTCTTAAAAGGCCCGTGGTAACCAAGGAATTGAATTGAATTGCATTTTTTTCACTCATGGAAAGACCATGAAAGTTCTGCCAGACACGGTTTGCCTTTATGTCTTTGTTGTTTAAAATTGATCCAACTGGTAAGTTCTGTATTCTACTTTATTATATGATGGCCAGTTCTGTGTCACTAGGTAACTTCCACTTTTAAATAATAATTTATGGGAGATTATAGAGCAGGGATGTCAAACTCGATTTCATTGAGGTCACATCAGGGTTTTTTTTACCTCGTGGGGGGGAGGCAAGATGGGCATAGAGAGCTCGACGTCCCTTGTGTCTGGGGTGCCATTGGTGGCCCAAGAGCTCTGCCAGTGAAAACGGGCTCCCGAGCTCCGTTTTCGGCTGTGACAGCCTCCTGCAACCCTCTGCCAGCGAAAATAGAACTTGGGAGGACCCCTCACTGGCAGAGGCACTGTGGGCCGGTCCTTCGCTGTTTCCAGCGTGGCCAGATCTAAGCACCCCACAGGCCGGATTCAGCCAGCAGGCCTTGAGTTTGACACCCCCGTTATAGAGCAGTGTTTCTTAGATCTATGGAGATTCTCAATCATCCAGGTCATGGTTGTCCCAAAGGTGTTTTTCCAAAAGGTATCTGGACTTTATTGGTTTCTTCTTTGGAAATATTTCACTTCTCATTCAAGAAGCTTCTTCAGTTCTTGGATAAGTAGCAAAACATTTTCAAAGAAGAAAGCAAGAAAGCCCAGTTACCTTTTGGAAAGGCACCTTTGAGATTTCTTAATCTTAGCAACTTTAATGTGTGTGGATTTCAATATCCCGATTGGAAAGTTTGGGTTGAAATCCACATACCTTAAAGTTACTAAAATTGAGACATGCTACTATAGAGAAAAGGGCTATTATTTTGTAGGATATTTTATTTAGAATAGGTGTTACTGAGTTTTTATGGGCTAAAGAATGAGTTATATCAGGGGTGTCAAACTCTCTTTCATGAAGGGCCGCATCAGGGTTGTGTTTGACCTTAGGGGTCCGGCGGGGGGCATGGCCAGTTCAACGTCACTCCTGTCAGGGGCACCTGTAGTGGCTTGAGCACTCTGCCTGTGAAAACAGGCTCCTGAGCTCCATTTTCAGCTTTCAGAGCCTCCTGCAACCCTCTGCCAGTGAAAACAGAGCTCAAGAGGGCAGCCCTCCCAAACTCCATTTTCACTGGCAGAGGGTTCAGGAGCCCCTGGCAGCTGAAAACAAAGCTCAGGAGCCTGTTTTCACAGGCAGAAGCACCGTGGGCAGGTCCTTCGCTTTCGAGGACAGCCCCGCAGGCCAGATCTAAGTACCCTGTGGGCTGGATCCAGCTCCCGGGCCTTGAGTTTCAGACCCCTGACTTATGTCTTATTATTGAAGGATTTAAACCGGTTGACACTAGACCTTTATAATAAACATTGGGTGATAAAGCTATTAACATAGGGAATGATAAATAGCAGACCTATCAAACTGGCAGCCCACGGTCTGGATACATCACACACAAGCCACGCTCAGCCCAGCTCCGCAAAGGCAAAAAACGGTACATCACAATCCAGTCCGTACATGATCGAGTTTGACACCCGTGATAGCTACTGAGTTAAATCCAGTTGTTGCAACAATTCCATAATTGTTAAATCCAGTTGTTGCAATAGCCACTGAGTGACTTTATAAGATTCCAAGTACAGAGAGCTGCATGTTTGTTTCATTTACTTTAAAGGTACATAACCTGAAAGGGCTGTTTGTGGTCTTCATTGATGGCCCCAGAAACCCCCAAAATACTTGGTTGTAATTTTCAATGTAGTGTTCACTATATAAATTTTTATAAAGCCGATATGTAATCTAAAATTAAAATGTTGGTACTGCACTTAACTCATTACTTTGCATAGTACAGGTCCTTAGAGATAATAGTGCATCTCCCAACACAAGTGGGCCATGCTTTACAAGTCCTCCCACCAAACCTTTTTTGGTGGATGAGGATTCTGCTTTTTTCAAGCCGAAAGTTGCTCTTTAAAAAGGACGAAAGTGGATCAAACAAAAATTTTAAATTTGAATTTAAATGAAATTGATGAATAGGGTTCCTGCTTAGGTTATTTAATTATCATCTTTTCTGGAATCATATTTCACAGGAATTTCTGGAGTTGTGCAGGGAACTTCTGATGAGCATTTTCATTGCTCCTACATGCTATTATCTTGCGGAGTGGCACAATTGTTCTTCAACTGAAGCAGTATGAGCTATAAATGCTGGATAAGCTTCTCAGTCTACAGCTGGCCTGTCTTTGGGGCTCTTTAGCGAAGTTCAAATATGCATCGTCTCTGTCTGTTCTTGCATTAAGTTATTCTGCAGTGTGAATTCACTGGCAAAAAAAAATGCCTTGCAGCCTTCAAATTACCTTTGCAGAAAGACGACATAATATTTTTAAATATTTGTACATATTACAAGTTTCCTTTATTCGATTTTTCTTTTTGTTGAACATCTGTGCACAGTACTGAGGACTGCAGGTTGTGACTTAACCTGACAACTCCAATAGACTTAATCTTGATTTATCATTTCTTTGTAATACGAGCAACTTCCAGGTAGCTGAGCAATACACACTCTTGATCTTAGAAAAGAACATTGCGTAGGATGTATCTGATCTTCAACTATACTCAACAGTAGAGCCCCATTCTCTAAACCAGGGGTGCCCAATCCCTGGGCCGCAGACTGGTACCGGTCCGCAGCCTGTTGGGAACTGGGCCGCACAAATGTGTAAAATTTCATTTGCACATACCAGGGAGCTAGGCCGCTAGCACAAAACTATACTTTCCCTCCGCTGCTGCCACACGCCCCCCCACTTCTGCTGGTCCATGGAGCCAGAAAGGTTGTAAATCACTGCTCTAAACAGTTTCTCTTTATGGCATTTTATTCCTTGCAGTGCCCTAAATGACCTCACTGCTTTCCTGTCTGCCATTCTATGCAAAAAAAGAGGATCAAGAGAAATAAATGAAACAGTGTTCTAAGTTCCAACCAGTACTATTTTGAGTGCATTTCACCCCTAACATCTAAGTAGCTAATAACAGTTTTGCTTCAATAAATATGATTGCTATTTAACAAGGGACGTGGTGGCTCAGTGGCTAAGACACTGGGCTTGTTGATCGAAAGGTCGGCAGTTCAGCGGTTCGAATCCCTAGTGCTGCGTAATGGGGTGAGCTCCCATTACTTGTCCCAGCTTCGGCCAACCTAGCAGTTCGAAAGCACGTAAAAAATGCAAGTAGAAAAATAGGGACCACATTTGGTGGGAAGGTAACAGCGTTCCGTGCATCTTTGTCGTTTAGTCATGCCGGCTACATGACTACGGAGATGTCTTCGGACAGCGCTGGCTCTTCGGCTTTGAAATGGAGATGAGCACCGCCCCCTAGAGCTGGGAACGACTAGCATATATGTGCGAGGGCAACCTTTACCTTTTACTTAACAAATTCCCAACAATACTAAGGGAATCATACAAATTCAATACTTAGTATTTAGCATCATGTCTTATTTTTTTATTTAAGTCAAGATTTTCCCAAATTTAAATCCTCATTAAGATACTCCAAGGATTCTGATGAGCACACCAGGAGGAGGAACTGAAGGCAGTTTCTCAACCATTAAGGGCAATACTATTACAGAACATCATTAATTAGTTTTATAACCTGTATTTTTCTCCACAAGTTCAAGTGGCAAAAATAGCTTTCCATCTCTCCTTTCCACCCACCCCGCTTGAGTGATTTTCCACAGCTACGGAGAAATACAACCTTGTATTTCCTGTTGCTAGTTCAATGACTTAACCACTGCATCTATTGATTTTCAATGTCAAAACAGTTCCTGCAAGTTACCATTTAGTATTACATTTTAAGGTAGTCTTTTTATATCTGTTTAACATGGAAGTCATCCTTTCTCCTGTTTAAAAAACAGCCCCTCCTGCCTTCTTGCTGAAGTTCATATTCTGTAGCAAACCTGTGTTATATGATGAAGACAAAGACATGCAAATTGATTGATATACAAAGGCATAAAAAGAAAAGACTATATGGTATATATGCTGAATGTAGCTGTATACTAATCTAAATGAGTGTAATTTATTACTGAATAAAGCATTATTGGCTAAAATGGAAAACGTTAATTCATACTCTGCTTTCACACTGCCACCTACTGCGGGAAAAAATCAAAGCAACTCTATATTTGAAGTATTTTATTCATATTAAAATTTCTACTAGTTGGATGGAGGATTCTAAACCTGAGATGTATTTAGATCCAAAAAAAGGCACTTCAATGTGTAAAGCACCCAATAAATCCCAGTGATTTAAAATATCGTAAGACCACATTGTGGAAATAAATTGCTCAGCCTTTATAATCAAGATACAGCACTGACTGGTTTTTATGGCCCTGATTGAGCAGTATTACAAATACTGTATGGAAATGCTCAGCAGCTTTCCTTATGCGTATCAGAAAAACATGGCACACTGCAAAGTTCATTTGTATTTGTAAAATCCTTCACCAGTCTTCTTTCCAAGTTTCTTCTCCTCTACCAACTGATTTAGAAGTTGGCTTGGAGCAAAGAGAGGATTTTCCGGTTCCATTGAATGCCATCCTAATTGAAGGGAGGGAAAACATAAAGGCATTAACACCTCAATCAGATAATGTATCACAGATACTTATCATCATCTTCTTTTAACGACCTCATAATCCCTTGCGGGGTGGAGTCTGGGCAACTGAATGGGTGCTAGCAAAGTGTTTACTGGCTGGATGCCCTTCCTGTCACCAATGCGGAGTTCTGTGCAGCAGATATATTCTCACTCTCTCTCTTCTCAGAGACAGAAATATCTGCCTCTATTTAGGATTGAATTTACAGCCTCCTGATTGAGAGGCAAGAGCTCCACTTCTAGGCCACCGCACCATTCCAATGTATTACAGATACTTATATATTTTTCAAACCTCTTCATTCACAACAAATTACATTTTTTTAATAAAGAGATAAAGCTGGCTGCCATATTTGTACGCAAACCAACAAGAATATTTCAGTTAAAATATTGCAACCCTTTTAAAGAAGACTATTTGCAAGTTGTTAGTTAAATTAAGATTAAGTTAGTTAACTTAATCCTATAGATAAATTGGGAGGTCAAAGAGAATGATAAAGAGAATGATTTTCAAGGTAGGAATTGGATCATTAATCTTTTTTTCTGGGAATTTTACACATAACAAATCTCAGATTATTCATAATACTCCTTTAAAAATAGAAGAAGTGGAAAAATACTCATAGGATTCTCATGTTTTTATGTTTTGTTGTATTGGCCAGTCAAGCCTGCCTGCTCCTTGCTGTTGGTTCCACAGTTATAGTGGGGCAAAAAAGTATTTAGTCAGCCACCAATTGTGCAAGTTCTCCCACTTAAAAAGATGAGAGAGGCCTGTAATTGTCATCATAGGTAGACCTCAACTATGAGAGACAAAATGAGAAAACAAATCCAGACAATCACATTGTCTGATTTGGAAAGAATTTATTTGCAAATTATGGTGGAAAATAAGTATTTGGTCAATACCAAAAGTTCATCTCAATACTTTGTTATATATCCTTTGTTGGCAATGACAGAGGTCAAACGTTTTCTGTAAGTCTTCACAAGGTTGGCACACACTGTTGCTGGTATGTTGGCCCATTCCTCCATGTAGATCTCCTCTAGAGCAGTGATGTTTTGGGGCTGTCGCTGGGCAACACGGACTTTCAACTCCCTCCAAAGGTTTTCTATGGGTTGAGATCTGGAGACTGGCTAGGCCACTCCAGGACCTTGAAATGCTTTTTACGAAGCCACTCCTTCGTTGCCCGGGCGGTGTGTTTGGGATCATTGTCATGCTGAAAAACCCAGCCACGTTTCATCTTCAATGCCCTTGCTGATGGAAGGAGGTTTGCACTCAAAATCTCACGATACATGGCCCCATTCATTCTTTCCTGTACACGGATCAGTCGTCCTGGTCCCTTTGCAGAGAAACAACCCCAAAGCATGTTGCCACCCCCATGCTTCACAGTAGGTATGGTGTTCTTTGGATGCAACTCAGCATTCTCTCTCCTCCAAACACGACGAGTTGTGTTTCTACCAAACAGTTCTACTTTGGTTTCATCTGACCATATGACATTCTCCCAATCCTCTTCTGGATCATCCAAATGCTCTCTAGCAAACTTCAGACGGGCCTGGACATGTACTGGTTAAGCAGGGAGACATGTCTGGCACTGCAGGATCTGAGTCCCTGGCGGCGTAGTGTGTTACTGATGGTAGCCTTTGTTACGTTGGTCCCAGCTCTCTGCAGGTCATTCACTAGGTCCCCCCGTGTGGTTCTGGGATTTTTGCTCACCATTCTTGTGATCATTTTGACCCCACGGGGCGAGATCTTGCGTGGAGCCCCAGATCGAGGGAGATTATCAGTGGTCTTGTATGTCTTCCATTTTCTAATTATTGCTCAGACAGTTGATTTGTTCACACCAAGCTGCTTGCCTATTGCAGATTCAGTCTTACCAGCCTGGTGCAGGTCTACAATTTTGTTTCTGGTGTCCTTCGACAGCTCTTTGGTCTTCACCATAGTAGAGTTTGGAGTGTGACTGTTTGAGGTCTTTTATACTGATAACAAGTTCAAACAGGTGCCATTAATACAGGTAATGAGTGGAGGACAGAGGAGCCTCTTAAAGAAGAAGTTACAGGTCTGTGAGAGCCAGAAATCTTGCTTGTTTGTAGGTGACCAAATACTTATTTTCCATCATAATTTGCAAATGAATTCTTTCCAAATCAAACAATGTGATTGTCTGGATTTGTTTTCTCATTTTGTCTCTCATAGTTGAGGTCTACCTATGATGACAATTACAGGCCTCTCTCATCTTTTTAAGTGGGAGAACTTGCACAATTGGTGGCTGACTAAATACTTTTTTGCCCCACTGTATAAAAACAATGTCAGAATAGTAAGCATAGACAAACCGATCACATTTGTTGTATTAGGGCGCTGTGTGAAACATCGCCATAAAAAACAAATAATTTTTTATCCAGGGTTACTATTTTTAGATTTTCAAACAGAACTTATGACATACATACCATCCATAATGAATTTACTGGTATCTAAGCCGACATAGTCTAAGAGTTCAAATGGGCCCATAGGATAACCTGCCCCAAGTTTCATGGCAACATCAATATCTTCCTTTGATGCATCTCCTAGACAAAAGATTGACAGTTGAATTGGCAGAGTTCTAGCTCACTTCTTTCATTTATTTTATTTATCAGTCAAATATATATAGCTGCCCGTATCCCTAAAAGTGACTCTGGTTGGTGAACAAGAATCAAGTTTATAGCATTACATAACACAGCACAACTCAAAATCAAAATTCCAGTAAATCAGCATTTTTCCAGAAGAGTGTTGACTAAGGCATTGCACGATTACATCACAAAAGCCCCCAAAACTGTGGCTCAGAGAAGCATCCAATAGAGAAGCTTCTTATTAGTACCCATAGTTCAAAATGGCTTCCCTTTGAGTATATTTACCTAGCTACCTAGTAGTGTCTCTAAGGAATAAGTCTCATGCATTCCAATGGCAAGAATAAGAGTCATCAAGAAAGTGAGTATTACAGATTCCCACTTCTAGTCTGGAGTTCACTACATACATTAAATCATTCCAATGGCAACTACATGGCTGAGCTACAAGGTAACAGGTAATAGTAATAGAGTTGGAAGGGACCTTGGAGGTCATCTAGTCCAATCCCCTGCTCACGCAGGATACACCTTTTTTTTTCCAGGTCTGACAGCTAGAGGCTATGTCCTCTGAATAATGGATATTAACCATATTTATTTTATCATAAGCATTTTTGTTCTTTTTTTGTTAACCTTCTCATAGTTTACCAGAGTGGATAAAAATCAATGATTTTTTTAAAAAAAAATCAAAAAAATCAGATTTTTTTGATTTAAATCGGATTTTTTTGATTTTTATCAAATTTATTTTAATAAAAAACTTTTGGGGTAAAAATCTATCGTAAGATAGTTTTCTATTTAAGATACATAAATAATTTAGTTTATTCAGCATGAAATGGAGCTTAGTTATGTAGCATGAGGCTGTATATTCTGCAACACTGGGACTATCGGTGAGTCAACAGTGGGTCAAAGGAGTAGCAGAGATGACAGTTGCTCTTTAAAAATTATGATTTAAATCGAGTTGATTTAAATCAAGCCTTTTTACTAGTGATTTAAATCATGATTTAAATTGTGATTTAAATCAACTCGATTTAAATCAAATCCACCCTGTAGTTTACCAAATGTTGGCAGCATGTGGCAAGCAGGTTTTCTACCTCAGTGAAGAAAATACTCTCAGCAAAGTGAAATTTTGGAAAACAGCCTGTCAGAGCATTTATCTATTCCACATTTGGAAGGGGCAGAAGAAAACCCCATTAAACCATAAACATTACCAGTGTAATCTGACAATTAAAACATTATTTTAATTAGATGCTACCCCGTTTCTTATAACAATCATTTAAATATATGTGTTTCAATTCCCTCTTATATAGTATTTAAAGTCAAAACAACAGCTGGATTCAAGGACTACCATTAAATGAAGTTCAATAAATTTAAAAGTTTCAAATCAGAAAATAAACCCATCCAGTTGTGGAAATATAATGGCTGGTTAAATTTGTAATGTAACGTTTCGTTGAAGTATTTTATATGACAATATTTTAGAGAAAATTTCTTTATACAAAACCAGTCCTTTGCTTTAAAAAAAAAATCACTAATTTCTTCTTATTCTGCCTTTGAGGAGTAATTAGCAATATTTGTTGATGGATAAGCAAGAAATACAGCTAATCTTGCTTCACAAGCTAAAAACACTTATAAAATCTACAAAGGAAGAATTTAATATCTAAAATATATTTACAGGATCTTGATAATGGAAGTCTTTCATCTGCAAAGAGGAAAGGCTGCCTTCCAAATAAAATGTTTGAAATAATATTCTTAATAGCAGACAGTCATAAAAGGGAGCTTAATCCTTAATAGTTACAGAGGAAAGTTCTCTTTAGCTCTTTATATAGCAGCCATGCTTGCTTTGAAGAACACACAGCTTACTTCAAGAGTTAACTGACTCTTAGTTTGAAAGAAAAGGACAATTATTATCCCGTATTTCCATCAACACAGCAACAAACAGCACACATTTTCCCTATCCTGGCTGCTCTCCAGGTGTGTGGACTTCCATTTCAGCCTGTAAGAGGCTGTGGGAACCCTAGGAAGGCCCGGACGGGGCCCAGAAGGGTGGATCAGGCCCTAGAACCCTCCATTTCCGCCTGTAACAGGCCAGGGGAGTCCTAGGAAGGCCCTGTAACAGGCCGTTTGTGACAGCAAAGAGGCAAAGGAAGCCTCACCAGACAAGAAGGTAGCAGGGCCGTGTGGGAGGCAGTGGAAAATGGTGAAGGAAGGCTCGGTAGGTAGCCAGACCGCATGGGAGGCCAGGGCGAAGGCAGGTAAGTGGGCTGGGCCACGGAGGCCACATGGTCGAGTCAAGCGAGCTAGCGAGCCAGATAACAGCAGCTGCTATGCCGTGCCAAGGCAGATGAGGCGAGATAAGGAGTGACTGGAAGGGGCGGGGAGGGGCCAGCCAGTGGTGCTATTAGCTGGTTCTCCGAACTGCGCAAAGATTTAACAGTTCACCCAAACTGGTCCAAACCAGTTGAAGCCCACCTCTGAAACATCTGGAGGGCACTAAAATTGCAGAAAGTTGAGTAAAAATTCATCCAAAGTTAGGAATCCTCCCATTTTTCCCAAAAGGCACTCCTCAAGGCAGTTTTGTGGTAATTTTGGAATCAAGTCATGGGGAGCTACCTTAAAAAAACTAAGACCTTTGTTCTATTCTAGCTTAGTTGACATCAGTTAACCTATTCCAGGGGTTAGAAAAACCCATCATCCTTTTGTTTGTTTGTATGCTCACAATCTCACTGGGTTCAGCATTTTTATGTCAATCGCCTGCAAGATGAAACCTCACTTCATTCACTATTGCGGCTATAATTTTAATATAGATTTTTCTAATAACATAAAAAGCTAATTATACTTCCAATTACAGCAATAAGTACCAGAATGTAATCTATTTCCCTAATGTCACAAGGAGCTTTTGGAAATGGAGATGGAGAGGGCTTTTATAAGAAAGAAAGAAAGAAAGAAAGAAAGAAAGAAAGAAAGAAAGAAAGAAGAAAGAAAGAAGAAAGAAAGAAAGAAAGAAAGAAAGAAAGAAAAAGAAAGAAAGAAAGAAAGAAAGAAAAGAAAGAAGAAAGAAAGAAAGAAAGAAAGAAAGAAAGAAAGAAAGAAAGAAAGAAAGAAAGAAAGAAAGAAAGAAGAAAGAAAGAAAGAAAGAAAGAAAGAAAGAAAGAAAGAAAGAAAGAAAGAAAGAAAGAAAGAAAGAAAAGCAGATACAGAACTCCCATTATCCTACATAACAAAATTAGTTGGTAGATATAAAATGAATTTTTTGCATTCATTGTCATTTAAACAGAAATTTGAAAGAGGTCTCTTAGGGATGTGCACGAAATGGAAAATGCATTTTGCCAAACAATTCTGGGTGCACTGCTGCTCAGTAGAAACACAATCAGGAATATTTTGATTGTTCCAGATTTGTGTCAAAATCTTTGCTTCAAACGTGGCAACAACTCCAACAAGCTGCTTCCCCTATTCGGAATCTCCCCAGTGCCTCCTCCCCAGGAAAGATTCTAGTGAGAGCAGGATGGCTGGGTATTCTAGATAGCTAAAGGGAGGTAGGGAAAGGAAATAATGGGAAGATCAGGGAAGTGGATGGGCGGGTTGGATGTGATGTCCTTGAAGACAAGGATTTTGGCAATGACAGCTACAGGAAGATAAGAAAAGTAAAGAGGTTGAAAGATTGAGAGGGCTGGTCATCTGTTGCCGTCCTTGGCTTTTTCCTGCTCTTCCCCAAGTATACACCTCTGCCTGGAATATGCATATTTTGATCCACTGCCAGACTGAATAGCTTTTGTTTGGAAATAGTTGTGCATGTAAGGTTTTGTTCAGCTACACTAGACACAGTCATTCCTACTACATGAACTAGCGAGCTCTTTGAAGGGTCTATGTGTGTGGAAACAATGGAAGACTTCATTCTAGGATTCCTCCCGGGGTTTTTTGCAAAGACCTCCTCAGTTTGGGCCTAGTGTGGATGAAAGACATCATACTGTGGACGGTACCAACTTATCAAGGAATAGAATAGTTTGTGGTTCTCATACATCCAAACACTATTAATATCTCTACCAGAAATTACTTTGTACTGGATCAGTATCTAAGTGGAGAGGTATTGCTTGTTGTCCAAGATACCCCAAGAATCCTTAAAATAATCTTACAAAGTCTGAAATCTTGGGAAATGGCTAAATGTCACCTGATTTGGCCTTTTTATTCTTAGAAAAAGATATCTTTTATTTAGATATTTGTAACCCACCTTTATTATTTTTACAAATAACTCAAGGCAGCGAACATACCTTCTTCCTCCACTTTTCCCCACAACAACTCCTCTGTGAGGTGGGTTGGGGCTGCGAAAGAGAGTGACTGACCTACGTGATTGAGGTAAAGTCATACTGGGCGTGGAAGACATGGAAGTGAAAACAGGCAGGCAGGTACAAGAAAAGCCTGCTCAACTGAACCCTTTAATTCTCACTAGAACCGAAGTCAGCTATCAGATTAAAAAAAAAAAAAAAAACAGGCAAGCTGGGGGCTGCAGTCCCAAATATTGGTGGAGATGTACATGTATGTGGGTAGGTTGACAATTTTCTACAACTTTACCCCTCTCAAAAAGCCGAACTGCTTCCATCAGGTAAGGCACAAGAAGTCGATTCACAACGAAGCCAGGCGTATCCTATGAAAAAAAACCCACCAAGATTTATGGTAAAATAGATCACTATATAAATTACAATATAAATATTACTGGCTGTCCCCCACTAAACGATTCTTCATTCAATAACCATTCAAAGTTGTGTTGTTTTGCCAAACTATTGCTAAACGAATAATAGTTATGGACAGTTCTTGAAGTTATGGTTGATGCAGCACCCTCTGCTGATCAAAATTTGGGTGCTTGGCAGTCCAGCCTCATTTACAGCTATAGTATGTACTTCAGCTCTCCCCTCCCATCTGCCTCTCCCCCATTTCTGTCCCTTTGACAGTCCTACACTCTGCTGCCTATCCCTGCCCTCCCACATCCTAAGGTCTTTTCCCCACCCCCACCTTTGGCCTCCTGAAGAGGCCAGAGGCACCTCAAAAGCAGTAGGAGGAAGAAGACTATAAAAGCCAGCTGGGGAGAGCAGGGGTGGTGGTGGTAGGAGTAGGCAGAGGTGGTGGAGTGCAGGAGGGAGGTAGATGGTCAGAACTGCAGCAGTAGCAAATGTGGCAGGGGTGTGGTAGGTCAGGAGAAGCAGGAGGTCCTCACCTAACAACAGTGTGGTCCCAACAACCACAATAGGGACTATCAAAACAGCCATTGGTAGGTGGCATAGTCATAATATGTTCTGCTTAACAACCACTTTGCTTGAAGATGGAAATGCATGTCTCCATTAGGCTTGGTAACCAAGGACTGCCTATATCAGTGATGCTAACCTTTTTGCCATTGTGTGCCAAAAGCGGGGGTAGCGTGGGGTCGCGCACCTGCGTGCCCACATTCATAATTCAATCCCCACGGTGCCCCGCCCCCGCACGCATGTGTGCACGACCCCCTGTAATCCCCCCGCTTTTGGCACATGATGGCACATTAGGCCCGTTTTTCACCCTCCAGAAGCTTTCTTGGAGCCTGGGGAGGGCGAAAACAGCCCTCCCCACCTCCCCGGAGGCGCCCCGGAGGACAGAAATGACCTGTTTCTGTGGGCCCGGAAGGCCTGAAAATCAGCTGGCTGGCACACACATGCATGCTTGAGCTGAGCTAGGGCAACACTCGCGTGCCCACAGATATGGCTCTGCGTGGCACCTGTGGCACGCGTGGCACCTGTGGCACGCGTGCCATAGGTTCGCCATCACGGACCTATATAAACAAATGGTGTTCATGTTAGACCAAAACCAAAGTCTTCTTAAAATATTCTATAACTATGTTATCTATCCCTCCATCTTAGGTGGTTTAGCATCCAGAAAATGTGCTTCCAAACTGAGATAAAGGCGAAAATTCCTCAGGGTGGCCAGGTGTGAACCTACTGCACTATTATTCTGAGATAAACTTGCCTTGCACGATATTGGATTTTTCCCAACTGCTCTGCTGAAATCCATGAGAGACTCAAAAGTCTTCTGGCTCGTCATCGGCGTCTTGATAACCTAGCAGCAAAGACACTATCAAGGTGAATGGACTTTCCTCAGTCTCAAAAACAATTTCATGGAATACCATGGTACAGGAGAGAGATTAACCAAATCAGACTACATTTCTTTAAATCTCAAGTACAGGTAGTCCTCAATTTACAACAGTTCATTTAGTGACTGTTTGAAGTTATATCAGCACCGAAAAAAGTGACTTATGACCGTTTTTCACTCTTTACGACCTTTGTAGCATCCCCATGACCATGTGATCAAAATTCAGATCCTCGGCAACCAACTCATACTTATGACTGTTGCTATGTCCCAAAGTCATGTGATCCCCTTTTGCGATCTTTTGACAAGCAAAATCAATAGGGAAGCCAGATTCTCTTAGCAACCAGGTTACTAACTTATCAACTGTGGTGATTCACTTAACAACTGTGACAGGAAATGTCGTAAAATGAGGCAAAACTCACTTAACAAATTTCTCACTTAACAGAAATTTTGGGCTCAATCATGGTCGTAAGTCGACGACCACCTGTAGTTTAATGACAAGGAACTTCTTTTTCAACACTTCTCCAACCTTTGTTAAGTAGGCTTGTCCCATTTTACGACTTTTCTTGCCACGGTTGTTAAGTGAATCATTGCATTTGTTACCTTAGTAGCACAGTGAACCTGGCTTCCCCATTGACTTTGCTTGTCAGAAGGTCCCAAATGTGATCACATGACACCAGGACACTGCAGTCATCATAAATATGAACCAATTGCCAAGCATCTGAATTTTGATCACGTGACCATAGGGATAACTGCATCGGTTATAAGTGTGAAAAAGGGTCATAGGTAACTTTTTTCAGTGCTGTTCTAACTTTGAATGGTCACTAAATCTGTAAGTCGAGGACTACCTGTAATCTTGAATATGTATTACTCCAAAGTAGGGGTGTCATACTCGTGACGTCGTGTCATCACGTGACATATCGTGACTTCTTTCCCCTTCGCTAAAACGGGGGTGGGCGTGATCAGCGCATGACACATCCGGCTCATGGGCTACGAGTTTGACACCTCTGCACCAAAGATTCAAGGCACTCAACGCCTCAAGTCCAGTTCTTTTTTCGCTCGTTGCTGGATTTCTCTTTGGTATCTGCTTGGACGCTGTTGAAACAGAATCTTAAGCCAAATGGCTATTTTATCCGCTCCAGCAGAATCTTTCTTTTTTTTTTTTTTGAAAAAGTTTTTTATTTTTTAGACAAGCAAACATTTAATACATCAGTTATCTCTTCCCTGCGACATTTTGGTGTTATCTTCCAAAGTTCTTTCTTCTTCTATGTAGTTGTTATTTCTTCTCTCTTGATCCTTATCCAATCCATTGTATCAATTCATCACTAACATAATATTTTACTCTTCACACATTTATATATACTTATATAATTAATCATTTGTATCTCTTCTCCAGCCAATAATAAAAATAATTCCATAGTTTAAAGTATTCTGAGTCTTCTCTATCCTTAATCATCAGGGTTAATCTATTCATTTTTGCACAATCTAAAAAAAAATTATTACCTCTTTAGCAGAATCCTCCTTATTGGGTTCTAGGTCACAATAGTGAGGAAAATGTTAATATCAATTTTAGCCTCAATAATTTTATTTATATATTTGTTTCCATTATTAATTTGCATCCCACCTTTATTATTTTTATAAATAACTCAATAACGTTTAAACAGCAGCATGCATTGAACATGGCACAAGATTCATTTTATAATAGTGTGAAGACTCCTTACCTCTACAAGCTTCATCAGAGGTACCGGGTTAAAAAAATGTAAACCACCAAACTGATCCTGCCGGGTGGTAGCATTAGCTAAGACTGTGATTGGCAAAGATGAAGTGTTGCTAGCAAATATGGTGTGCCTGGGGAGAAAATAATATTCACCTTACATTAGTTGCAGCTCTTCTTTCTTCAAACCTCTAAGAATACTTTTAATTCAACAATATTTGAAAAATGAAGAAACACCGCGAGACGAAGAGATAATTAGGAAGATACAAGATTGTGCAGAAATGGACAGACTTACGCTGAAGATTAAACAAAAAGAAGACATAGAATATTATCAAACATGGACTTTATTTTACCAGTAGTTGGAAAAAAGAGGTGGAGATTAAGAATGTAACCTGTACTGTTAAGTAATTAAATAACACAGACAACATGGTGTTTATTAAGCACTAACAAAATGTAAACAATAGAAAATCAATAAAACCTTTTAAAAAATACTTTTAATTCAAAATGTTGTCCCCCAAATCAAACTATTAATTATGTATCATCATGTTTCAACCTCTAAAGTTTGGATAGACAGAGATGGATCTTCCTGGAGAAAAACTTAACTTGTTCTTTGAGTAGTTAAATTAAAATAACAAAGAGTATACATAAAAGTTGATTTGGAGCAAATTTAGAGCTTCCCTAGCAATAAACAATTAACTTAGAAGGAAATGAAACCTAGGATGTGCAGGTAATGGTAATTTCCTATTGATAATTGGGCACTAGCAACTGATCCAAGCAGAAGTGAGTAATAATGTGTAAAGGAAATATAAAAATATTCAAGTACCAATTAATGGCCAGGGGGGAAATAAAGGGAAGCAAAGAAAAAAGGGACTGCTAATTTGCACTTTTGGATATTTTTGAAATTTTAATTTTCTTTTCTAATTGTTTTTCAAAATATTATATGTATATATATATTTCTTTTTTGTTTTTGTTTTTTTTGTTTTTTTTTGCTTGCTTTTTCCCCATAAAATAGGAAGGTTTTTGTAAAAAATAAAAAAAAAATTCAATAGTTTGATTACATCCTTTTAAAGATTATTATTAGTATTATTATAATAATATATTGTAAATTCTACCTTTTAGAGATGAATAAGGAATGAATTCAGGTAGTCCTTGACTCATTCATTTAATGAGTTTACAATTATTACAGTCTCAGAAAAAGTCCCCTAGTATGACCTGTGCTTGAACTTATTTCATTGCACTACCCCCATGGTCACATGATTAAAATCTGGGTCCTTGAAAACTGGCTCTTATTTATGACAATTGCAGCATCTTGCAGTTAGATGATCGTGATTTTTGGTCTTCCCAGCCAACTTCCGACAAGCAGTCAATTGGGGAAAACAGATTTGCTTAACAATCATTTGATTCACTTAACAACCACATGATTTGCTTAATGGCCATGGTAAAAGCTGTCATAAAATTGAATCCGATCGCTTGATGACTCGCTTAACGACTGATCCCAATTGTGGTCATTAGTCGAGGACTACCTGTAAATTCTTTATTTACATTTTTTGTTTCATTTCTGTAAGAAGCTATTACATATATTAATTCAAAGTTGAGATTTAACATTTTCAGACATTTATATTCTGTCTCAGTTACATGGGAGTTGACATCTGTGCAAAGAAAATGGATTTACAGTTAAGAGATCGATGGTTCTGCATCAGATACACAAACACATGGTTCCAGATATTCAATGGTCTACAGAATTGATTACAATAATATAGGCCAATCATAGATGACTGCAATGAAACATGGTCTTTATTTATTGATAAAGGAATGTTAATAAACATTCTTTTGTATGTTTATATTTTCTTTAGCTTCTGCTTCCTTCTTATATAATTTTATGTATTTTTTATTTTTATATTTAGTTATCGAGAGGGAGGGTAGGAGAGAGAGAAGGGGGGAGAGAAAGACAGAGGGAGAGGGAGGGAGAGAGAGAGAGAAAGAGAGAGAGGGAGAGGTGCTAGAAAATTCTTTGTTGCTTTTCTATAGAAGATCATTCAGGCTCATCTCAGACTCAAAGTATGAGAACAACATATGTGAAGAATGTAGAAAAGTAGCCTCTAAATTTAAAAAATCTGCATGAATACAGATTCCAAATTTAAATACTCCTCTGTATCTTAGAAAAGGGAGACAGACATATGACTGCAGCAGAGAAGCTCAAGCAAAAAATATTTGCAGCACACTTTACATGAGTCACAAACATATTTGGCATTTTTTTTCTTGGAAGTACACCAGTGTACACAATGGAAAAAATAATGAACACAGCTTAGTGATGATTATCTTATAAAAACTACAAATGTACAAGCTTCTTTCGCAGACTGTGGTGAGGTGCTTTAATAATATCTTTAAAAAATCTCAGTGACCCACTGAGAGTTCTTAGATTAACAGAGTTGGAAGAGATCTTGTAGGTCATCCAATCCCCCACCCAAGCAGGAGACCCTACACCATTTCTGACAAATGGCAGTCCAATCTCTTCTTGAAAGCCTCCAGTGAGGAAGTTCCTACAACTTCCAAAGGCAACTTCTGTTCCACTGGTTGATTGTTCTCACTGTCAGAAAATTTCTCCTTATTTCTAGGTTGAATCTCTCCTTGATCAATTTCCATCCATTATTCCTTGCCTGGCCTTCAGTGCCTTGGAAAATAGCTTGACCCCTTCCTCTCTGTGGCAGCCCCTCAAATATTGGAACACTGCTATCATGTCTCCCCTGGGCCTTCTCTTCACTAGACTAGCCATGCCCAGTTCTAGTCCACTCTTAGACATAGAAGCCACTAAGGTGAATTTGAGCCAAACACTCCCTCTAGCTCAACCCACCCTTCACATATGTTTATAAAAGCAAAAATAGAAGGGAACATTATGTACCCACTTTGAGTAGTAAAAAATAAAAGTAGGATATAAAATAAACAGAAAGACAACCTCAAGCCTTCCTTTCCTAATAAACAATCCACATGGCATTCTCTTTTAGAAATCAGATTATTTTAGCATATAACCAGAGTTAGATATCTTTTAAAATCAAAGTATTCCCCAAAAGAATAAAACCTACTACTGTACTTGTAGCATCATCTGACACAAAGGGAACTGAAAGGAAAAAATATGCTTACTTCCCTTCATTGTTCATTTCAAATTCAGCAAGAATCTAATCTCTCTCATAAATCAAGTTTATAATAAACTCAGAGTAATCATTAAATTATTAATAGCAACTCAAGACTAGAAGAAAGGAAAAATGCATAAACTCAACCTCTAGATTCCATGATTAGTAGAAAAGTTTTATGTGCTATTTCATCATCAGATGCATGTAACAGGAATTTAAAATAAGGAGGTACATTAACTGCCACCAAAAATCGCACCTCCTTATCAAAGCTGCTGCTAAAGTTTAAATTTAATATGACTGGATATGACCATTATTAGTAATTGTATTTTAATTGAATTTCAATTTTATAGTTCTTGTCCATCCTCTTTCTCCTGACTCTCCAACTTTTGGGAGTGCAATTCCCAAGATTTTTTATTTATTTATTTATTTATTTGATTTATATGCCGTCCTTCTCCGGAGACTCAGGGCAGCTTACAATGCGTTAAGCAATAGCCTTCATACTTTTGTATATTTATACAAAGCCAGCTTATTGCCCCCACAAACTGGGTCCTCAATTTACCTACCTTAGAAAGAATGGAAGGCTGAGTCAACCTTGAGCCTAGGGAGATTCGAACTTGCAGTAATTGCAGGCAGCTGAATGTTAATAACAGGCTATTAGTCTGCTGCGCCACCAGGCTCTTAAGATCCCATTGAATTTCATGGCTGGATGCCCTTCCTGTCACCAATGCGGAGTTTTGTTCAGCAGATATATTCCCAGTGTGCCCAGCGAGAGAAATATCTGCTTCTACCTAGGATCAAACTCACAGCCTCCAGATTGTGAGGCGAGAGCTCCACCTCTAGGCCACCGCAGCACTGCCCCAAGATCTGATTGAATGGCTAGCCTTAAATATTGCACTTCCCTGATTAAGTGTACAGGACTAATTATATTCCTAGTTTTCAAAAGGTTTGCAGAAGAATAAAGAACATTCATGTTCTTTGAAAGTAAGCTTAAAATCAGACACCTGGAACTGGGAAGTAAACTGCTGCATGAGGCTTTGCAATATGCTATTTACATTTAAAAATTCAAAAATTGTTGATACAGTTCACTTGTTTAGGATTCCTGACTGGTAAGTTTTCTTTCAAGATATATCATTCCACCTCTACCCTAATTTTTGCCCTTTTCTATGTTCCTCCATGTTCTCTGCTTCAATTCTAACTGAGTTATTTTAGATTCTTATCACTCTTTGATCACCTGCCTTATTATTTTTTTTTAACACATCTTATATATTTTTTCCTACACTTTGCAGAATGTGGCTTTGTCAAAATTCAGCCTACTCTGCCATCAGCGCTTGTTTCAGTTTGCTATTAAAAGGAGCAATATGGATACAATGATCTATGAAAAATACAACCATCAAACAAGCTTGCACTCTATTCATTCTACCATCAACCCTTAAAATCTATTTAGTTGATTATTTTAATCAATGATATTTTGATAAAATTGCTCAATTTTGAACAGTAATTCCTCTGAAACAGCGATGATTACTTTTCTTTGGAAGAAGAGATGGGACTTTGCCTAAATAATTTACTAGAATGGTTCTTTGGTGTAGGAATATCTTTTTAATCTTTGATCACAAGTGGAGAATTACACCACTTCCTTTCTTTCTGAAGTTAATATTTTCACTCAGACCTCTCCTACAGAGTAGAGAATATCTTAAAATAATAAGAACCATCAATGTGAAAGTAAGATGAGTTCTCAGCTTCTGGCGAGCAAAATATTATTTGGAATGCTTTATTTGGCATGACAAAGCAAAGAAAGGAGAAGAGTATATTCTTTTTATTGCGTTAAGCCAACAAAAGTTAAAATGAAAGCTAATATAGAAGATTCTACTATAAAATTAAAAGTCAGAATAATTAAGCTACCCTAAGTCTCCATACAACTTTGAGTTTCCATTAACTATATTTTAATTTAGAAACAAGTGACTTAAATTCAAACGAAGATTCATAGCGGGTAACCCCTGACTCTCTCAGAAAGATGCTTTCCATTCTAACTTCTGATGTAACAGCAAAAGAAAATTATTAAATACATGAGATAAATCATACTACTTGTACCTAATGAATATAGCTACTTGCATAATGACAGAAACTGGGACAGCAGCTCCGTTGCTAAGCAATTTAGTGACAAAGCACAGTGTCATGTGACTGCATCAACTTATAACGGCAGTTGTGGCTGGCCATACCGATTGCTGTTGTTCAGTGAATCCCATATGATGTAATGTCATGTGACTGCAATTTGCAACCTCCTCACTGACTTTCCTTGTCAGAAGCTGACAGTGAAGGTCAGAAATGGTGATCACATTACTCTGTGATGTCATAATTGCAAGCCGCTTGCCAAGGGCCCAAATCATAATGATGAGCCTGTAGGGACATTGCAACAGTCATAACTACGAGGATCTTTCATAAATCCCACTCATTCAGCACCCTTGTAACTGAATAGCTGCAGAACAAGTGGACTTTAAGCAAGAATTATGTGTATACATTTATTTTAATTGAATTTAGATGAATTCAAAATTAATGTTCATCTTTGCTGGATCCACATTTTTGGGCCAAACCCCTAGCACATCAATTAAACCTTTTTGTAAGCTTGGATATATAGTGTTATTAGTTTATCGAAATATAAAATATAAAGACAAATGAAAATAATGGGAAAGAAAGGGAGATGAGAAGGAAGAGGGAAAAGTGTAGGGGAAAAAGAAAAAAGAAAGACAAGCATTGACTTCTGACTCTTTTTAACTCAGTAGAATAAGGTAATAACATACAACCTCCATTTTTTCTTTTACATAGTAATACGTATTAGCGATTTCTATAACAATAAATCTATCTAATCAGCAAAACTCAAAATCAAAGTTTTTTTTTTCACCTCAAGAACAGATCCAGAAGCAGTTTCCAAGTAGAAACAGAATTCATTGTAATCTTTTCTTGAATGAAAGCAGTTAAGACATCTAGCAAAGCTGCTTTTCCTTTGAAATAAATAAATGTTCATTCTCCCCATTTCTATTAAATCAGTTAACATTTTAAACTGATTATTTATGCATCTGATCAAAAGTTTATTTGAGTTGTGAACAGGAGGGTAAATCTGAACAATCAATCCTATATTTAAACTTCTTTTCTTAGACTAATCATTAAAATCATCAGAAGGAGGTAGAATCCTGCAAATTAATATTTTCATCTCTCTAGTTGGTAATGACTATTTATCTTGTCTGTAATAATTTTAAAAACATACTCCGCCGCAAACTTATCCAGTGTCTTGAAGAGCTCAGTTTTTGGGACTAAGTGTTCCAAAATGGCCTCCACGACAAGGTCAGTGCTGTGAACCACAGAGACCGGATCCGTGTTCACAGTTATATTCTTTAAGGTCTTCTCAACAAATTCTACACCAGCCTGCAAAGTTGAAAAAAGCAAAAAAAAATGTTTACAGAGTGTTACACTAATCCAGGGTTGAAATCTACTTACCTTCCTTACCAGTTTGGAAGCACATGCATGTGTCACGTGCGCGTTCAGACCTTCTGCGCATTCGCAAAACCTGCACATGCGCAAAACCTTCTGCGCATGCGCAGAAGTAAAAAACCCATTACTTCCTGGTTAAAACCAGGAAGTAATGACACCAGGCGGGTGGGCGGAGCTTTGCTCCGCGATCACTACTGGATCACCAAATCACCGGCCAAAATCACTACTGGACCGGGTGATCCGGTCCGATCCGGGAGCATTTCACCTCTGCACTTATCTGCGTAAATAGAAGCTTGCTTTAAGTAGTAATTTAAAGTAAGTTCTACTTTATTTATTGACCAAATTTATATAGCCACCCATTTCACAAATGTAACAATAAAGCCAATAATTAAAAAGTTTTAAATAACAATCAAAACATGCAGTAGAATGTGATATTATAAAATATTAGGAATCCGTTTGTGCACATTGAACTGATTGCTTGTCCCTCAAGTAGCAAAATGCATTAGAGAAAAGGAAACCACTGGCAGCTTTATGTCCTCCCCGCTGCCCTGCCCAATTAAATGATGAAATTTCACCTCTGGGGCTTCACACAATTTTCCATGTGCAGCTGCTCTGATTCCCTCCCCGTTTGGCAGCACCTGTTCCAACTGTCAGCACCGATATCCATCACTATGGCAGAACTTCAAAGATACAATCACCAACACACCTGAATCTGAGCTTTCCACTCTACACAACCGGGACACATTTGCACCATCGCTTTCAAAAAATATTACCGCATAAAGCAGGTGCCACTTGTCTCAACTTTTGGCTTCAGACACTGAAGACAACAAGCTTTGAAGGCAACATGCCTGAAGCAAAAGTTTGCTGCTACTGAAATGCTCAAACTTACAAAGCATTGAGAACAGCCTCATGCACTTTAAAAGCAAGTATTCTGTGTGTTGGAGCAGAAAAGCACCGAAAGGTTCAAAAAGAAGCAATAGGGTTGTTCTACTTCAGTAGGTAAAAGCCCTTTGGATTGGCTTCAAAGGGGAGATTCAACCAGATCACCTTCAATCTGAAGCACTCACTAAACCTCTAACAGTGTTTCTCAACCTTGGTAGCTTGAAGATGGGTGGACTTCAACTCCCAGAATCAATCTGAAGCACTCACTAAACCTCTAACACAGTGTTTCTCAACCTTGGTAGCTTGAAGATGGGTGGACTTCAACTCCCAGAATCAATCTGAAGCACTCACTAAACCTCTAACACAGTGTTTCTCAACCTTGGTAGCTTGAAGATGGGTGGACTTCAGGATTCTGGGAGTTGAAGTCCACCCATCTTCAAGCTTCCAAGGTTGAGAAACGCTGCTAACAGGTATTGTCTTTAGAGGCTACAAATGTCTATGAAACAAGTAACCTGTAGAAGCACTACTTTTTGAGGAATTTTTGCAATGGTTATCTATGCTGGATTTTGATTTTTTTTAAAAAAAGTTTTTAAAAATCAATACCCATTTGATTTTAGTTTAGCTTTCCTCATGTCCCCAAAATTTTATTTCTGCATAACAGTCTTCCTTAATCTAGTGGCCTCCCAATACAGTTGAGGCTCCTTTATTGTACGTTGGAGAAAGTTGCCCCTTGTACTAAACATGAAAAAGAACACCAGACTTCTCAATATTTATAAAAAGTCACCTCGGGTTTGTCGGCAAACTTTTTCTTTGATAGTTTCTTCAGACTATCCTCAATTTGTTTCTTGGACTTATTTAATATTTCGTCTGACTGGTCCACTAATACCACCGTGTGGCCAGTTGCTGCAGCAACCTGTAAAAAAGATAGGAAAGGGGGAGGAAGAAGAGAAGTTAATCGGTTTCCTACAAAAAAAGTGATGGACCCTAAATCATCTGTTGGACATCGGGAGTTAGTGGAAATTTAAACATGGTGCTAACAAAATTTAGATCTGTATGTCTCAAATACCAGCCAAGCAAAATTCCTGAAACAGATAAAGGATCAGCCCCATAAAAAAGAGATAAAATAAAATACCTTTTGATTGGCCTTCTGTTTTCAGAAGCACCTTTGTACATAGCCTTCTCGTAACTGGGACTAAAGCAGGGTGGATTTGATTTAAATCAAGTTGACTTAAATCACAATTTAAATCATGATTTAAATCACTAGTAAAAAGGCTTGATTTAAATCAACTCGATTTAAATCATAATTTTTAAAGAGCAACTGTCATCTCTGCTACTCCTTTGACCCACTGTTGACTCACCGATAGTCCCAGTGTTGCAGAATATACAGCCTCATGCTACATAACTAAGCTCCATTTTATGCTGAATAAACTAAATTATTTATGTATCTTAAATAGAAAACTATCTTACGATAGATTTTTACCCCAAAAGTTTTTTATTAAAATAAATTCGATAAAAATCAAAAAACTTCCGATTTAAATAAAAAAAATCCGATTTAAATAAAAAAAATCTGATTTTTTTTATTTTTTTTAAAAAAATCATTGATTTTTATCCACCCTGGACTAAAGTGTGAAACCACCCAACTTAACTTAAAACCTAATTCAAATAAATCAAATTTAAATTAACCAAATTTCTGTCCACTCTTCCCATATACCAAAGCTTAAGTAAAAGCAGAAACTGCCATGCTAGCCAGGGGAAAAATAACAAAGGCAAACGGGAGGATAAATTTCAGATCAAAGCAACATATTTACCAGACCTACTGAAGTTACACTAAATATTGGCAATTTTTGATAAACATTTACAATTTTAAGGGCCCCATTCACCTCCCAACCCCCACGTGTTCATGTTTTTAACGCCCTCCAAAATGCCAGCAGAGAGAATAATAGAATAACAGAATTGGAAGGAACCTTGGAGGTCTTCTAGTCCAACCCCCTGCTCAAGTATCTGTATCATTTCAGACAAATGGTTGCCCAATCAGATCTGGTATGCCACAGGGTAGGCCCTACAACAGAAAAGGGCAGCTTCTTTGGTCCCAGTATATGATATTCCATACAAAGGCAGGACTTGGAACATCAATCTCTACTTGGTCCTAATTAGGGAATTACCTCATTATGGTTTGTTTTTAAGAAATTAGATGAACACCATCATCTTCACAGTTCCATAGTTTTGTTAGTCTTAATTGAGGAAAAGAATTAAAGCCAGCTGTACAGAAGATGGCAATTGCAGTACTGTGTCTTATTTATTTTGTGTCTCTGGTACAAGCAAAACACAACTGAGATATATGAAGAGAGCATCAAGCCTTCCTTAAAATATTCTTGGTTCAGAAAGATGGTTCAATTGGAAGTAGAAAGTAAAACACCTTACTCAACTTGTTCCTGGAATGACATTACTAGAAGGCAATCAGCTTTAAATAAAAACAGTTAAATAAACAGTTCGTCGGGCCCTTAAAAGCTATTTTTTTCAGTTAGCCGGGCTGTCCTGATTTTATGGTGAGTTTTTAAAATTTGAAATTGGTTTTGAATTGAAATGTTTTAAATTATGGGCCAAACTTTATTTAATTATTTTAAATCTATTTTAACTTTTGTGTACAAATGTTTTACTTTGGCTATTCACCGCCCTGAGTCCGAAAGGAGAAGGGCGGTATAGAAATCTGAAAAATAAATAAATAAATAAATTCCTTTCTTTAAAAAGAAGTTACATTTTAACATGCATTTGCCAAAGCCAGAAAGGAAGATTTAATCTTTAAACCATTAAGTTCTCTTTCTAAAGGAATCTGTCCGTAATGCATAGGCTGGATTCACCCAATGTGCTAAGTGGTAAAGTGGTTTGCTCTGCATTGAATTAGAACATTGTATGAACTTGGCCACAGTGATTTATAAATTTCTATAAACTCAGCCAATTGAGGCTTACTTAACCATGACTAGCCAAACCGTGACTCAACACAAAGAGTGAATTCTTCCCTTAAAATGTTGTGCCTGGAAATTTGCACAATAGTATTTTAAAACTATTTTTTAAAGTTTATATAGTTATCCATAATTTGTATCATCCATATGGGTAGTGCATTTGAATTATGGTAGCCAACCATACCCATCATTATGAAATGTGAATATGAAGGCTACTGCAAGTATCTTAATGGGTGCAATGCACTTAGCAGATAGGCTTCTCAATTATAATGCCTGATATGTCATAATAGAAGAAATCAATCATTTATGTATGAAAAAAATAATAATGAGAAAACAAAATTAGGGTTGAAGCTAACATTAATTTTCTCCTTCCATTGCCAATTCTTTCTCTGCCCTCAGTGTTTAGTAGTCAGACTGGACCCATATAAATGGGTCTGAGATTAGTTTGTACAAATGCTAGTCATAAAATGGTTCTTAATAAACCTAGATGAGTATTTAACTTGGTTACCCTTCACAGATATGTGAATTTCAATTTCCTAAATTCTCAACAGCATTCATGCTGGTTGGAAATTATGGGTATTATGTTCACATATCTGAAGTGTGCCCCAGATAAGGATGAATGTACCTATGACACAGTGCTATTGTGAAACCATTTTGCACACTCCAGTCCTGAATATTTTACATCCCTAAATATAATTGTGTGAATTTATCTTAATGCATATGTTAATGAAGCTTTTCCATTCGTCAGAAAATAGCTGGGTTATATTGTTGTTGTGCTTCTCCTACTCACCTTTCTTCCTCTTCCTCTCTCTTGGGCCCTACCAAAACATCTGCCGATGCCCCTCCAAACAATCTTACACAGACTTACTCTGTATCATTAAATCAAGTAACAAACTGACTCTGCTCAAGGAAGAAATATACCTTTACATGCTTAGTTAGGTTCTCCAGGCTTTCGTGAAATCAGTGCCAAGGTACTAATCAGTTTTTTGTGCAGATATTTTAGCTCATGTCCCAGCAAAGCTTCCTCAGCCAAACAATGGTTTACAAGTGGGGTTTGCTTTCTGGCATTTGTATATGTAATATTTTAACTCGGTGTGTGTGTGTGTGTGTGTGTGTATGCGTGTGTTAGTTGATGATTGGAGTTTTTCTGGAATTAAGTAGATGCTGGGAATGGTGGTGTCTCTATTTTGATTGGTCCACACCATTTTCTTGCTGCGTACGGCCTATTTCAAATGCCTCACTAGATGGTAGATCGCATCTTTGCTAAGGTAACAATATACATTTTTTCCTGCTTATGTAAAACTCTTGCTTCTAGAATGAAACAAGGCCTAATTATAGCTTTGCAAAAGTTGTGTAAAAGTTACTTCTATTTGCTTACCATTCACCTAATCCCTTGCAGCAAATGAACGGTGCCCTTGAAGAATAAACCATAGAAAACATGCAGTTGTCTCAGGTTGCTAATGTGTTGTAGTGACAAAGCACAGTCTGTGCTGGGAAGGTAAGTTACCAAAAATATTTCTGGGCTAGTCTTTTCTGTAGAAGTACTTATACGAATATCTAACAATAGGCAGGCTTATTTTAAAAAAATGGCATTAATCATGTTCTCAAGTGCTTAAATTCCCAAGTAGTCAAATTTAATTTGATAAATATAAACAAACAAACAAACAAGCAAGCAAGCAAATAAATAAATAAATAAATCTGTAAAAAGCAAGCAATGAAAAGCTGGAAAGGATCTTAGGCAAATTATTTTTTTACAAGATGATAATTCAAAAGCAACAGCTTAATTTACAAGGTGCATGAAATGTATTAACAATGTAGCCAGATACATACAACCTGACACATATTCTTAACAAGACTATTGGATTGCACCCTAAAAGGGCTAAACATAGATGGAATTAAGAAAAAGGAAAGAAAATAAAGAACAAAAAGCAAATAAAAGTAAGAATAGAGAGTAACAGATCTGAAAAACTGATACACAACCAATTTAAATATAGCAAACAAGACATGAGAGATAACATGCTAGCATGATATTATACGGTTAAATTCCGCCAATAACATCAGTTTAGCCATGGTATTTAAAGCACATTTAAGCGACAGTACCTTATAATCCCATGATGGCAAACCTATGGCATGCGTGCCCAAAGTGGCACACGGAGCCATGTTGCCTGGCACACGCGGCATCACCATTTCCGGTTTCTGGCGTGCATGCGCATGTGATGATCAGCTGGCCTTTGCGCGTACCGGAAACCGGAAGAGCTGGTCTTTCGTTTTCTGGCGTGAGCATGTGCACCGGCCAGCTGATTGGCATGTGCGCATGCGCGGCAGTAACCGGAAGACTTGCTGGCGGGCACACGTGTGCACCGGAAACCGGAAGTACCTTAGCTGGTGCGCACAAGCCCCCTGAGCAGCTCCTCTTCCTGGTCGCGGCCCAGATAAGCGCTCCCTTTTCAGCACTCGGTGCCGAAAAGGTTCACCATCGCTGTTATAGTCTTTGCCAAATTTGCTCATTACTCCTTCCCAGAATCTACTTACCTTCCCTACTGGTTCGGAAGTGCACGTTCTGTGCGCGACTCTGAGCGTGTGCCACATGCAATTTTGGACCCTCTGCGCATGTACAAAGTTTTCTCTGCATGTGCAGAGGGTCAAAAACAGGTTACTTCCTGGTTAAAACCACGAAGTAATGACGTCCGGGCGGGTGGGCGGAGCTTCGTGCTGCCGCCACTACCAGTTCGCCAAACCACGTGCCACCGCCATCTGTTTGCCCAAACCGGTGCGAACCGGTAGCATTTCACCCCTGCTCCTTCCCAACAACATTCTATGCAGGAAACAATGGTTGGATTTACATCAGACAGGATATCACTGTTTGTTATATCCATGTTTTCTTACAACTAGATTCACAAATAATGTTAATCTAGAGATGGGCAGTTCCAGGATTGCACACAACCACCAAGTTTCTTTTCATTGATCCTTGAAACCATTTTTTGACCACTGTTGCTCAAAATCAGTAGTATAATTTCCTACTATTGGGGGGCATAAAAAGGTGCCAAATCTGCACCTGAAACCCTAAAACAGAGTTATTTGTTTTTAGTGAAAGATACCTTTGCTCCACATTCTCCACAAAAGTCCAGAGGAAAAAAGCAAACATCCCAACTCTGCCCATTCCTGCCAGGAGGATACTAGATGCCAATTCTGGTTTCCTCCTTCTTTCCATGTATGCAGCCTCTCCAGCACCAAAAAGATTGCTCTCCCTTCCAAACTACAAACTGTTTTTCAAGCCATAATAGTTGGATGCAGATAAAACGAGGTCACAAAAACCATGTTATGGATTAATGCAATGTGTGACTCAGTGGTGGGTTTCAAATTTTTTTACTACCGGTTCTGTGGGCGTGGCTTGGCAGGCGTGGCATGGCTTGGTAGGCGTGGCTTGGTGGGCGTGACAGGTGAAGGATACTATAAAATCTCCATTCCCACCCCAATCCAGGAGAAGGTTACTGCAAAATCCCCATTTCCTCCTGATCAGCTGGGACTTGGGAGGCAGAGAATAGATGGGGGCGAGGCAGTCGGAATTTTTACTATTGGTTCTCCGAACTACTCAAAATTTCTGCTACCGGTCCTCCAGAACTGGTCAGAACCTGCTGAAACCCACCTCTGGTGTGACCCAAACCACATGTCCTATGTCCCACAATATAAAATAACTTGCAATTTGTCGTGTACACGGAAAATTGTGTTTTTTGCTGTGATGGATCTCTAGTAAGAAATAAAGAAACAAGTTAAATCCCCAATGTGGATTTAATGCAGGTATTTCAAACCATTTGGGCAAAGACTTAATAGTCCATCTTTAAGTTCATGCGGTAGTATTGAAAGAAAAGAGCTGTCACGGGTGGTGGGATTGGCTTATTCAGTCATAAAATGGCTGACAGGGATATACAAAACCATTCATTTCTGAGAAGAAGCAGCAGCTAAACTGAGTTAGCTACTGGATACCTTTGTAGCCTTCCCAGGATACTCACTAAATATACACAGCTTATTTTTGCAAGTAGTCCTTTACTTACGACCATAATTTCTGTTGCTAGTGAGACATTTGTTAAGTGAGTTTTGACCCATTTTATTATTTTTTCTTGCCACAATTGTTAAGTGAATCACTGGTTAGTAATATGGTTGTTAAATGGATCTGGATTACCCACTGATTTTGCTTATGAGAATGTCACAAAAGGTGATCACATGACCCTGGGCATTAATATGAGTCAGTTGCCAAGTGTCTGAATTTTGATCACCATGGGGATGGTTATAAGTATGAGAAATGGTAGAAAGTCATTCTTTTCAATGCCATTGTAACTTTGAATGGTCATTAAATGAATTATTGCAAGTTGAAGACTACTGTATTTTTTCCTCCCTGGGCAACTGGGTATATACAAATCATGAGGTATAACAACTTGCCATTTTTAACTTCTAAAAACACATCCAGGGAATCCAAGGACTCTTTTGAAAATAACAGTGATTTTGGAAGCTACATTTTTACAGTGCCATCCACATGTTCTTATGAAAGCATTACCAGTGACCATTAATGATTGCATCACCAAAAGCATATTTTGGGGGTCACAGGATTCCCAAGATATGAAACACAATTGCCAAATATGACATGGCTCTTTGACTCAATGTTTCTAAAAATTCACATAACTCTGAAAAATTTCAGTTCTGTCTACACTCAATACATTCTGAAGACTCATTTCATTCTGGTTAATTCTTGGGGCTTTTTTCCCTATTACCAAAGGGGATTTAAACAAATGGAAGCGGTGTCCACTTGGTTTTTTCTTACCCCAACTAACTTGGAACAAAAAGGATAGTTATCTTTATTGCACTAATTCCTTAGCAAAGAATGATAAGATTAGATACTTGAATGAGACCTACCAACACGGTACTGTGCAATTTGGAGACTTCCATACTGTCAGCAGAGTTGCTGAGGAGGTTATTGTCAACTTGACGAAAACAGTACTGTGCATGTGTTGCAACATTATATGGACACATGAAAGAGGGACCTTGCATTGTGATGGCACAATACCGCTTCTATTAATTTAACAAAAGTTTTATTTATTTGCTAAATTTATTTGCCACCTATCTTGCCACTGGGCTACTATTCTATTTACACAAAAGAAATCTGCCAACTACTTCAACACGCACTTGCCAGAACTGTTATTTAAGCCAGCATTCCACAAAGTGATCAATATCACTTCTCAAGGCTTGACGAAGCTATCCATTATTGCTGTTGTTATTCGTCATAGTACTATTAAATAGTATTCATTTTTTATATAATAAATGGTCGAAGAACGATCTGAAACTTCGTGAAGTGGTTGATGAGCTGAAAAAGTTTAGGGTCCCCTGATTTAAGCCAATGAGCCCACCCCGTCTGCCAGCTATTTCCTTATTCATGTGAGCATTCCATCAAAGGGAAGCTGGCCATGTCTTTTGAGTGGATGGCTTCATCATTCTACTGCTCCGAATATCAATGAATTTTCCCTAAAATTAATGAATCTGCCTTACCTTAGGGTTAGGATATCCTGTCGGTTTCTGCTATTTGGAAACGTAGTTAAAACCATTATTTCCTACTAGGCCTTGGAGAAGAGTGGGGACTAAGGCCTGTTACGACTAAGTAAGTCCTTAGTCTTAACTAGCACTAAGGACTAAGCCCTGTAAGGACTAAGCCCTGTTATACAAAGTCCTCGATTACTATGTTTTGTGGGGATTTTTAAAAGTGTCACTATTATAACCAATGTTTTTTTTCCTTATTGGAAACGCCACAGCTACTTTAATTTAAATACTGTTTTTAAAAAAAAACAGGCTATTAGGGGATTTGGGAGGGAGGAGATAAGAGATTCTTCTTTTTGATGCCTCTTTAATAAAAAAAAGAAGTTCTGGAATGGCACTATCGGCAAAAATGAAAGTTGGGATGAGACTTAGTTTGAAAGTTCCGAGTTATAATTCCTAAGTGTCTATGAAGATCCTCAGTCATCCAGGTCATGGTTGTCCCAAAGGTGCTTTTTCGAAGAGGCAACTGGAGTTTCTGGTTTTTCTTAGAAGACGTTTTGCTTCTCATCCAAGAAGCTTCTTCAGTTCTGACTGGATGGTGGGGAATGGATCACACAATAAATCTTCCATTCCCCACCATCCTGTCAGAGTTGAAGAAACTTCTTGCATGAGAAGCGAAACATCTTCCAAGAAAAACCAGAAACTCCAGTTGCCTCTTTGAAAAAGCACCTTTGGGTATAATTCCTAAGGTTTTTCAAAGGAAGTTACAGTATCCAAAAGGCGGCATATCCGTCCCAGCTAAAGGTTTTCTCTTACCATACCTTGAGCACCACAAGCCCAAACCAGATTGGAAGCATCTGGCTCTTTACTAGTGTAGTAACTTAATGGGATCTTATCTACACAGATCAACTTTGCTCCACTTGCAACCTGGATTTCTCAACCTCAGCAACTTTAAGACATGTGGACTTCCAACTCCCAGAATTTCCCAACTATTCCAGATTATATAGTATAGTAAACTATATGTTGCATGAGAAGTATAATTCTCATACCATACTAAGTGGCCATTCTCGGAGTTGTAGTCCAGGAAGGCTGCAGTGGAGGAAGGTGGTGTCCTTCTCCTGCTGGGCTCCTCTTTTGCTAGCAGTTTTGATTTCCCTCCCCCATTGCAACAGACTATAAGATCACCCTTCCCTTTAGTATTATTAATCAAAGGCACTTTTTGGCACAGGTTTTCCGGCTCTTAGCCCAGCGCTCGGGGAATCCAATCGCGGCGAGAAGCAGATTTTCCATGCACTAAACCAAGGGAGGCGGAGGGCCAGGGAGGCTCAAAGCTGGACTGCTCCAGCCGCCGACGCCCCTTATATCCAGCCTCGGAGGGCAGACGGCTCCGTGAGGCAGCTCACCTGGGCGATCCCGGAGCCCATCAGGCCGGCTCCGACCACTGTCACATGCTTGATCACCAGCTTCTTGGCGGCTGCGGTGGAAGCCAGGCGCACGAAGGGACGGGTCGCGAAAGCCATGGCGAAGCACACGCTCTTCTGCAAGGAGGAGGAGGAGGCAGCGGCGGCGGGGGCGTCGCTGGCCCTAGAGGCAGCCGAGGATGGGCGGGCCAGCGCCGACAAATCCAGCGCGATGCTGCCGACCCCAGAAGGCCGAGCTTCCTACCCGCTCCTCCCATTTGCCTTTAGTCAGGAAGGCGGAGGTTGGCTAGGTTAGCTGCTGGATGGCCTCGGCCCTCTTTTTTTCTCTGCGGCGCTTCGGGTGGTTCTTTGGAGCCGCCTTGTTTTGCCAGACTCCGTCGGTTGTCAAGACTTCATTTGCCAGCAAAAAAACCTCATGCTTTTGAACTGCGAGGCCTTCTCCTTCGTGCACCTTATTGTTTCTCAACCTTTGGCGACTTAGACTTCCCAGAATTCTTCTTTTTGGGAGTTGGAAGTCCACATCTCTTCAAGTCGCCAAGGTTGAGAGACGTTGGAGAATCACCTCCAGATATTGCCAGGATTTTGCTTAGGGCTAAGATTTCACCATTTGTTTTTCAAGGCGTGGGGGCCATTATCGGAAAGTGTAGTGCAGGGGTCAGCAACCTGCGGCTCTGGAGCCACATGTGGCTCTTTCACCCTTCTGCTGTGGCTCCCTGTCACTCAAAATATGTGTCACAACAAGCAATGTGCGACACCCACCAGCACACGATTTATTGAGCTTTTAAACCCCAGGTTAGGCCAACCATGGATAAATCCAAGAAAAGAAAAGTTTCAGAAGAAAACACAAGGTTTAATGCAACTACATATGCTAGTTTTGTGGCCGCTCAAGAAATAGGCGTGGAAAGGGTTTTGTGGCTCCCAGTGTTTTCTGTGGGAAACGGGTCCAAATGGCTCTTGAGTGTTTAAGATTGCAGACCCCTGGTGTAGTGGAAACAATGTCTGCTTTCATTTAGTTAAGACCATGGTTGAGTTTGCGTATCTGCAATATAATTCTACAAATCGGATTATAATGTGGTTTAGGAATGGTTTAAATTCTATTGAGCTCTATTTTTCCCCACGGTTTTTCTGAATGTTTAATACTTATTTTGAACAGCTCTTGAAATAGCCGAAGCTTAAATCTATTTTGTCAACTTCCTCTTGTTTAATAGCAATAGCACTTAGATTTATATACTGTTTCACAGTGCTTAACAGTGCTCGGTGGCTGAGCTTGTCAATCAAAAGGTCAGCAGTTCAGCTGTTCAATCCCTAGTGCTGCATAATGGGGTGAACTGTTACTTGTCCCAACTTCTGCCAACCTAGCAGTTCGAAAGCACGTAAAAAAAATGCAAGTAGAAAAATAGGGACCATCTTTCCTTTCTGTTCCATGCACCTTTGGTGTTGAGTCATGCCGGCCACATGACCATGGAGATATCTTCAGACAGCGCTGGCTCTTCGGCTTTGAAACGGAGATGTGCACCGCCCCCTAGAGTCGGGAATGACTAATACATGTGTGCGAGGGGAACCTTTACCTTTAAATGGTTTACAGACCCAGCATATTGCCCCCCAACAATCTGGGTCCTCAGTTTACAGGCATCAAGGTTCTTGGATTCAGCTTCCTGATCATTGTCACTTTTGCTTTTTTAAAAACATTATGTGTATTTAATGATGTAGGCTTTTACTACAATAAAAACACCACATGATTTCACTGTATTTCCCTCCAAAAGAAAAATTAATTGCTGGCATTTAAGAGCACAAAGATTCAGATTATAGAAGAGTATAAATTTCAATAAATTTTACATTTATAATAAAAGCAATTAGGTAAATAATTCAGTATTTGATAACACTCATTTCCTAAACAAAGGCTTCAGAATGTATCTGTTAACGTAAGAATCTTTGTTCCATATTTCAGGGATTTTCAAATTGGTCCTGTCAAACCTGAACATTCACCAGAAACTAAACGCAAAAAAAATTTCAGAGTTAATTCTCATCACAGCTTTCTCTTTCAGGGCTCCAGGATTTACCGGTATTTATTTAACTGCTGTAACAGGTACTCTGGCCTGAAAAGTTTGAAAACCCATTTTATATGACAGTAATTCTGCTTGGCACATATGGCTTACACATATACTAAATATAAATATGTGTGCAGTGTTGATTTATTGCCCGCTTCACTTTCTAAAGGCTGGTGAGTTTAGCTCACCCATTGCATTGTGCCACTGATTTGTTAACTTACCAGTAGTTGGCTGCACTTACATAACCCACTGAGGCGTAACAACATTGTTTGAAATTATAATTAGTTTAGACAATATAGGAAAAATATACCCATTTTACAATAGTTTTACCTGTATATGGTTCAATTTAAAGAAATCATTTGAATTAAGAATTTTTACATAGAAAACTACAGTTGCCAAGAATACTTGGAGAAAGATCATTACAGTAGTGTCAAATCAGCCAGAAATAGAAAGAACACCAGAAGAAAACATTGAGGTACATAAAAAAGGATATCTGTAATATAATTCTCACCAACCTGAGATTTTGCAGATATTTTGTACTCCCAAGCATTTGAATAGCAATTGAGGAAGGCTAGTAAAAAAAATTTGTTATATTTTTAATACCCACAGGAGAACGTGTTTTAAATCAAAATTGTCTTCTTAATAGTCGGTTTTTAAAAACAAAACTTTATTTAGACAAATATTTTATTTATCTAAAACTTTATTTAGATGAACATATTTCACACTGTGTCTAAATATAGGCCCCTTTAAAAAAAAGCAATCTTATTATTTCAGATCTTGGATTTTACATTCTCATCCTAAAATTCTAAACAAGGCATTCATTTCAAAAACAACATTAGACAATATAAACATTAGCAAGGTATAGGCAACTAATATACCCAGCTCTTATACAGGCCCTTAATGCCTTCTAAAATGCAGAAATACAGACCTTTGGAATCTGACAAAATTATAAAATGCTTCAGTAAAAGATTGCTTCATTACAAAAAGACACACATGCCATACCAAGGATCGGTTGTATTTTGCCTCATAAGATTATCTGCCATAGCAGTACTCGTCTAAATGTTAGCAGTGCAATTGAAGGATAAGGATTGTCGAAGATGGCCAAGTTTCCTTTTTAAAGGATAATTCATTCTGCGAGTTACAGTAATTCATATTACACTATGTCACAATGCCCTTTGTTTAATTTTTAACACTATTGTATGAACCAGTTAAATATTGTTCATGCAATAAACCACAAGTAAGCGAAAAATGGTTGAGTCTGTTCATCAAACCTGCTGATCCATTAATTCAGGTTCTCTCTCAACTGAAAATGAATGAAAACCCGCCATGTTCAATTGGAATTACTTTTGATTTTCCATCAAAAAGTACAAGCCCCAAATTTTGGCAGTATGATTTTTTTTTAATTAGGATAACATGCAGGAAAAGGAATAGCTACCTTACCTCACCAAGGAAAATTTCTCTCTTTTAAAATGCAGTTAATTTAATTAAAACGTTACAAAATAAAGTTCTCTTCAAACATGTCTAAGTGCATCCTCATGTCTCTGTATGAAAACAGGAATTGGGAAAAGATAAGGGAGTCTTTCTCTCACATAAATTAATAATTATTGATTATTTAGATCATGGTGATGAAATCAGATTCAATAATGAAATAGTTATAAACTTTTATATACTTTTATAAATCCTTGTAAACTAAATACTTAGGAGTAGGAATACTTATTATATTAATTATATTCATATAATATAATTCAACTTACTATAAGTAATTAAGCAATTAATTTGTAACTGGATTGTAATTATATCGTACTGTATCTCTATGCTGGGTTATTGATTTATAAGTGTAAAATCTGATTACCGTATTTTTCGGAGTATAAGACGCACCGGAGTATAAGACACACCTACCTTTTTTGGTGAGGAAAAGAAGAAAAAGAAATCTCCCTCTGCCTCTGAGCAATTTTGCCTTGTTGCAGCAAACAGCAAACAGCCTGCTTTATTTTCATTTTCCTTTTCAGCATACCTTGATTAGCACAAGGAAAAAAAATCTACTCCAGCAATTTACGTCTTGCAGCAAGCAGCAGAGCCCTGCGCAAATCAGCTGAGAGCCAATCAGCTGAGAGTCGGGAGGCCCATCCAATCAACTTGTGCTAATTAGGCTGTGCTGAAGCTGGAAGGAGCTGTTTTTTCTTGCTGTTTGCTTGCAAGGAGGTAACTGCTGCGAGGCAGAGGCCAAAGGGTGGGAGCCAGTGGGCAGGCGGGGCTACATTCGGTGTATAACACACACCTAAATTGTCACCCCCTTTTAGGGGGGAAAAAGGTGCATCTTATACTCCAAAAAATATGGTAAGTAATTAAGGATATTACAATAGAAATAGAAAATAGAGCGTAAAATACACATAGATTATAAAAAATAGGTAAGCAACTCAATGACAACAGTGGATGGTAATTTGGGCAAAAATTTATAATATTCTGGGAGAACAAAGTAAAATCTTAAAAGAAATGACTACCATTACCACCACAACCCTAAGAGCAGGGAAAAGGGCGGCATCAAATCCAACAGTGGCGATGGCCTCCCCATCAAACCAGAAAACAATAGATATGATGCTCCTGGCAGAAAAACCTAATACTAACTTATCAGTTCAAATGATGCAATCTACATTAGTCACAATACAGGACAGCATGATGAAAATGCAAGAGATAATGGTTAAAAATCATGGTGACCTGAAATTGGATATACAAACATTAGACACCAAAATGGATTCAATTCAACAGGCAATACAAAAAAATGAACAAAGAATTAAATCAGTCGAAATCAAAACAGAACAAACGGGAAAAAAATTAGAACAGGTAGATCAAAAACTTATGCTGGCAAATAAGGATTTGGAAAATTCCCTGATAGATCTTGAGATGGACCGAGCCGCCTTCTATTTGAGGTTTCAGAATGTAGTTGAAATAAAAGAAGAGAATCTAGGGGAGATAATGGCGGAACTGATTGCTGAAGCTCTGCAGAGAGATAAACGAGATTAGGAACAAACTTGATGAAATATATCAAGCTCAAACTAACTATGCAAGTCGCCATCACTTCCTAAGAGAGGTACATATTAGATTTGCATGCAAAAAGATCTGGGAGGATGTATATAAAACTACAAAAGAAGAACCAATATTCTATAACGGGACAGAAATCATAACACTAAAACAGATTCCTAGACGGATATGAGAACAAAGGAGGGACTATAGGTTCCTGGCATTACTTCTGAATACAAAAAGAATTCTATTTAGGTGGATCATCCCAGAAGGAATGATAATAACTTGGCAGGGGAAAAAAATTAAAATTGATAACCTGGACAAAGCCCAAGAATTATTTGATCAATTGACAGGGGTGAAGGAAAGCTCAAGCAGCAGAGAGCAATTGGAGGTGGTTAGTACAGAAGAACAAACACAAGGATTTGGAAGTGAGAAAATGGAAGAAAGAACTAGGGTGACAATGGAAAACCGAGATGAAGGAAAAGAAACTGGGATCAGACCAAAAAGAACTCCTAGGGCAACCAGAAATCAGAGACCGGCAGATAAATAAGAAAATAGAGAAAAAAACCGAACTACTATCAATAAACATAAATGGACTGAATGATCAGACAAAAAAGAAAAAGATACTTTCAAAATGAGACAGAATGTAGATATAATATGCCTTAGGGGAGTGGCCAATTAGTCCCAAGCCTTACTCTCGAGGAGACCTCCTCCTGAGGAGCCACTCCTGCCTTTTCACAGCTCTGTGAGCTCGTGCATCGAGAAGAGGCTCCTCCTCTTCTTCCTCTTCATTTATGGGAGCTTCTGAAGGTTCTGAAGGCCCTGGCTGAATCCCCACCTCTGGCACCACATCTTCTCCAGCCTCCTTATTGTCCGACTCGAGTGCCAACTGCACAGGCTGCTGGCACAGCACCACACCAGCCTCCTCGCTGTTGGAATCAGCTATTAACTGCACAGGCTGCTGATGGGCCACAACAATATTAGAATATTACGAGGCACATCCAGAGAAGCAAGTAGCCCTTGTTTTTCTGGATGCGCAGAAAGCCTTCGATAATTTAAATTGGACATACATGATTAAACTAATTAAAGAAATGAAATTTGGTACTAAATTTGAACAGATGATTGAAACAATTTATTCCACCCAAAAAGCAAATATTATAATTAATGGAGAAATTACAAAATCATTTGAGATAAAAAAGTGTTCGCCAAGGATGCCCATTATCACCTTTTTATTTTGACATTGGAATCACTTTTGAGAAAGATTAGGGCAAATACAGAGATTAAGGGGACCAAAATTAAGAGAGAAGAATATAAATTAAAAGCATTCACAGATGATTTGGTGTTTTTTATTGAGGATCTAAGAGAGACAGACCCGATATTAATAAAGAAGATAGAAAAATATGGAGAGATATCCGGCCTTAAAATCAACAAGACAAATCGAACACCGATTGGGGGGGTCAAAAGCCCTACTAAGCAGGTATACAAAAGTATGAAGGCTATTGCTTAAAAGCATTGTAAGCCGCCCTGAATCTCCGGAGAAGGGTGGCATATAAATCAAACTAATAAAATAAATAAAATAAAAATAATAGTCAAAAATATGACAGAACAACAAGAAAAAGAATTAGAAGGGAAATTGGGACTACAAAGCGCTAAAAAATTAAATATTTAGGAATATGGTTGACTGCGAAGTGCTCTTCAATAAGAGGATAATTATACAAAACTTATATAGCAAATAAAATTGGATTTAGAAAGATGGGGTGCACTACAAATATCTATGATGGGCAGAATCGCAGCCATCAAAATGAATGTTCTGCCAAAACTGTTATATCTTTTCCAGACCATACCCATAAAATTAGATAGGAAATTCTTTATAGAACTGAATCAAATTACACTGAAATTTATATGGGCTGGCAGAAAACCACAAATAAAACTAACAGACCTCCAAGATAGCAGAAGCAGAGGTGGTCTAGGGCTCCCAGATTGGCGACTCTATTATAAAGCAGCAATTCTAACCTGGATTAAGGCGTGGACAAATTTAAGAAATAAAAGATTACTTATATTGGAAGAGCATGATTTACAAAAAGGGTGGCATGCCTTTCTATGGGATAAAGAAAATAAATCCCACTCATATTTTTTTCACCACAAAGAGGCTTTAATGCCAAGAAACTAAAAAAAAATATGACAGACTCTGAGTACTATGTATCATGGGAAAAATGGTACGAATGGATGAAAAAGAAAGATGAAACAGGCTCAGACATAACAAAATTTGATGAAATAAAATATATAGACTATAAGTATTCTATAGGGATAAGGTTTGCAAATGGACACAGTTCTGCAAAAAAAAATATATCTTTTTCTTTTCCTTTTCCTTTTTTTCTTTCTTTTTTCCTCTTTCCTTTTCTTTCTCTTTCTTTCTTTTTTCTCTTGTGTATCTCTTGTATTCTTTTTTTTCTGTTTTTGCATGTATTTTTGTATCTACGTTTGTGGTTTCGTGTTTATTGAAAAATTAATAAAAACCTTTTTTAAAAAAAGAATTGCATTCCTACCTATCTTTCATTTCTAAAGGCCTTTTTAAATTAAATGTTATGTCCCAAAATTCAAACTCAAATATTTGTCAATTGAATTATTTTATGAATAGTTCATGCCAAGACCACAATTATAACTGGTCAAGACTGTTCTCCAATACAAATGGTAAGAGCACTAAAGTGCTAGAGACAAGTACATCTTCTGCCCAATAAAATCCTATTTTTAGATATTTATCATTGTATTTCCTATGCTTTCCTGAAGCAGTTACAGTTTGACCATGCTAATGCCACTTCCTATGGCATTTAAACTATGTATTACACATTTTCAACATAGATGTTATGGGTGGCTTGCTGGTTAAATCAGTTTCTGAAATCTGCCAGAAACTCAGAATGTGAACAGTTGAGAAATTACCTAAATTGTGCCAACAAAAATTTGCTTTTAGCAAACAATGAACAGAGCTGCCCTGAGATAAATCTCAAGAAATACATATTAAAAATTGAATTGTGGAAGTCCACTCACTGTTTTGCTTTTCTTGATTAACACAAAGGAACAGTAGTTTGGACACAAAGATGGTCCCTTAGAATCAATAACATCATTCTGCATCACCCTGAAATCTCATTCCATTTCCATTATCTTTTAAAAGTAAATTTTGCCTTCATTATTAAAACAAGGATGGAACATTCATTTAATTGAACACATCTATGTATGTTTGAGGCTTTATACTTTTTTCTTTTAAGCAGCCTCCCTGGAGCACGTAAAAGGAGTCGGCCCGAGGATTGAACTAACATTTGCATGTGCAGGACAGCTATTTTTTTTTCTTGATTTACTGCTGAAAGTGAAGACAAGCCAAACTTACCCAATAGAAGACACACACCCAAGACTCCCCAACAGACTCTGGTTTTTAAGACAGTTTGCAATGCCGCTTAAGTTTTTAAAATAACCTGTTAAGCATCTTTAACTATGTCTTTTTAAAAAGTTCCAAATACATAAAGTGCTTTCTGATTTATTTTTTTTTTTTTTTTTGGCTTTTGTCTATTGTCGTGTGCAAATTAGATTTCCAATATTTTCCTTTGCTTTTTATCTACTATAAAAAGGCATTTAACACCATTTAATGGTTCCCTTACATGTGGCTGCCCCAATTTTCTCTTGTTACTCTGCAGCTCTTGGGGTCAACATACTTCAGTTTGTTTCTATAGTTGAAGAGTTTCAGCGTATCAAGTGGGGGACAGCCCAAGCGAAGAAGAAAGTGCTTGATAATTTTTGGATGCCCCATGGGCTGAAAATTCCCTAGCCTGTTTGGGCTAATGACTAGCTTTTGGTGAAGAACGTTTCATTTAAAGCCCTGAATTTCATATAGTAACATGAACATCATGCAGCATTTGTCTTGGAAGTTTCCTCATCTCTTTAAGGCAATAAGTTTAAATGGAAAGGGAGCTAACGTCAGGCCGAATCTTCCTTCCATTGGTGGTTTCTTTAAGTCCTCAGGGTATATAAAGGTGAAACTTTGCAAAAGGCTCACAAACATCAAGAAAAGCTCCATCTTGGCAAGCTGTTCTCCCATGCACACACGTTTGCCTTTAAAAAGAAAACAAAAACAAGAAAAGGGATTACGGGGAGACAAAAATGATTTTTCACAGTTCAATTTAACTGATTTATTGCTCACACATATTATACTATATAATATGTGTGAGCAATAAATCAGTTAAATTGAACCTTCACATGTCGACCTTTTCATGCCTGGCAAAATGGTTACTTCTCACCCCAAGGTGCCTTTGCAGTGTCTACTACAAATACCGTATTTTGGGGGGTATAAGACACATTTTTTCCCTCCTAAAAGAGGCTGAAAATTTGGGTGCGTCTTATACTCCAAATGTAGCTTTTTCAAAGCTTTTTTCCAGCCCTAATGAGGCACTAGCGAGTGAAGCGATCTACCTCCGACTCTCAACTGTGCTTTAGAAGCTTTTTCAGTGAAGCGATCTTCCCTGCTTTGCCTGCTTCTTCCGACTCTCAGTTGTGAAGGTTTTTTTCAGCCCTAAGGAGGCGCTAGCGAGTGAAACAATCTCCGTGGTTTGCCTGCTTTTCTCATTGCTTCTCTGTCCAAAGATCGATTGTGCTTTAAAAGCTGTTTTTTATCCCCAAGCAGGGGATAAAAAAACCAGCAAACTAATGTGCTGAAGCTAACGAGACTAAGGACGCTAGCCAGATGAATATCTGGTAGGCATTTTTTTTTCCTATTTTCCTCCCCAAAAACTAAGCTGCGTCTTATAATCCAGTGCATTTTATACTCCGAAAAATATGGTAAGTAGGTGATTTAAAGTTCTATCACATTAATGTTGACATAATCTTTACTCTAAACAATTAAATTACCAATTCCAAAAGGAATAAATGTTTCTTTTTTGAGGAGCTGGCCATTCTCATCCAGAAATCTTGCAGGGCAAAAATCATTTGGGTTTTCCCATTTGTTGGGATCTCTGTGCACGGACCATAAATTAGGAATGATTATGCTGCCCTTTGGAATAATGTATCCCTGAAGCTCTGAAAGGAGAAAGAATAAAGTTCAGATCAAAATATACGGATCACCAATAAAGTACCCGTGTTTCCCCGAAAATAAAACCAGCTCTTATTTTCTTTTGGGCCCCAAAATAAACACCAGGTCTTATTTTCAGGGGGTGTTTTACCTATTTGTTTGTTTGTTTGTTTGTTTGTTTGTTTAACTTGTATTCCGCCTTTCTCTGAAGACTCAAGGTGGCTAGGAATGCCACAGCCATGCCTCCCACATCCCAACACCTGTTGCGCCACTGCCTGAGTTTTTCCACGTGGCATGTTGCGTCACTGTGCGAGTGGCAGCACCAGAGTAATGTGCCACGCTGTTTCCTGCCACAAGTGGCACTGGCTTGATGTGCCATGTGGCGTCCGGCCACAAGCGGTCACAGAAGTTGGGCAGCAGTGCTACAGGTGTCAAGGCGTGGGAAGCCTGGATGCAACGGTCCTAAGGTAAGCGGGTGTGTGGGGAAGCCCCCCCCCTCATCCTAGCTTGATTTTTACGCATGCAACTTGCCTCATCTCATACAACCAGACAGTGGGACAGAGTGGGCCAAGTCTTAACTAGGCCTTATTTTTGGGGTAGGGCTTATATTAGGGGCACACATAAAATCAAGCTTACTTTCAGGATAGGGGAAACACGGTACCAATTCATAACTAGAAACATCAAAACTGAAGCAATTTTCTATAGAATTCCTTTTCTTCTTTATAGCCCTTATTTACTGAAATCAACAGACATTAAAAAACTGATTTGGATGAATGTTATTTTGCCTAATTAAAATGGTTGTTTGGTATTACAGGAATGCAGATACATATATATGAGTGTTTGTGGAAGAAAAATGTAAATGTAAGGGAGACTAATCAAACCATAAGATCATAAACATAAATGCCAAACTTTTTGTAAATATTACAGCCTCTTGAAATATGCTTTCAGCTATAGCAGGCAATCCAAATCAGCTTTAGTCCTCATTTGCTTCCACCCACCCCTGTAAACCTCCCAAGTTACCATTAAATTATAATTCCAAGTTACCATTAAATTATAATTCCTAAGGTGATAGAACAAGAAAATTAAGTATTTACAACAATTAAATAAAGAATGCCCACTGTAAAAATTAAAGGAAGAGCAAGTTATTGTAATTGTTAGATTAATATCCTACTTTTCATTAGAATCTTAAGGTACTAAGCATAGTATTCCCTCCTTTAGTTTTTACCCATAACAACAACACTCTGAAATCAGTGGTGGGTTGCTACCGGTTCGCCCCGGTTCGGGCGAATCTGTAGCAGCAGCAGTGGGAGGCTCTGCCTACCCCCCCGGACATCATCAAATACGCTCTGCGCATGCGCAGAAGCTTCTGTGCATGCGCAGAAGTGGCGCTCGTGCGAGCAAATCAGTAGCAAAGTAAGTGAAACCCACCAATGTATGAAATGGTTGAACTAAAGAGTGATTGGCCCAGAATTACCTGTAAACGTCTACATTGAAAGAAAGACTTGTACTTGGGTATCCCTTGTCCTAGTTCAACAGGTTAACTATTTTGATACCCTGGAATTTGTAGCAACAAACAGAACTGAATGTTGCTCATTTCAGTTTTTCAAGTTTCTACTGAATGTATTGTTCCTCAGCCAAATGAACTTGCAGCAGGAAAGAACAGCATTGTCAAGCTGACCAGCATATCTATTCTTCAATACTGACCAGTAGTTTCTGAGGCCATCCGAGGAATAGAAAGAGGGACAACCACTGTCATCCTTTGAATTTCCATAATAGTTGCTTCTGTAAAGGGCATGTGCGCCTTATCAGCCAGGGTAGGAGGTCTGTTGCACCCAATGACCAATTCAATTTCTTCTTGAACCTTTCCTATGCAAAATAAATAAATAGTAAAATAATGTTTTGGGTGGGCAGAGAACTGGTTCATCTGCAGTCTAATGAAGGAGGAGGAGGGTTATTGGATATAGAGAGAGACTTTCATGATACAGGTCCAGAAGAATGACTCTCGATGAGAGTCCCTTTAATCTTGCATTTGTCTCCTCTGCCATGAAAATCTGTACACTGGTTAGTTTTAGATGTGTTTTAGTATTTTGAAAAATGTCTGCACATATAGGAAATAGAAAGTAGGAATAAAAAGGCAAATCTCTCCTTGATTCAGATATGTAAAGTACTGTCCCCAAAAGATCATTATTGGGATCTTAGCTTTTTTTTTTGTAAGTAAACAATTTGAAATTAAGATTTGAGTAGTTAAGGAGTTATGCCTGCTGATGTTATCAAAACGTTCAGGGTCGACATACCAAAAAACGGCTGTGGATTGCCCTGAACGTCTCTCTCCTAACTGGGGAAAATGTCTTACTTACTTACTTACTTTTTTATTATTTTATTTTATTTTATTTTATTTTATTTTATTTTATTTTATTTTATTTTATTATTTTATTTATTTTTTTATTTTTTTTATTTTATTATTTTATTTTATTTTTATTTTTTATTTATTTTTTTTTATTTTTTTTATTATTTTATTTTATTTTATTTTATTTTGTCAACAGGTAAAAGTATGAACATAATTTGGATACATGAAAAGAGTAAGTAAAAAGGAATATTAGGACAGGGACGGTAGGCACGCTGGTGCACTTATGCACGCCCCTTACAGACCTCTTAGGAATGGGGTGAGGTCAACAGTAGACAGTTTAAGGTTAAAGTTTTGGGGGTTGGGGGAAGAAACTACAGAGTCAGGTAGTACATTCCAGGCATTGACCACTCTGTTACTGAAGTCATATTCACAGTTGCTTTTAATATGATCGCAAAGGTCATTTATGTAAATTATGAAGAGTGTTGGACCTAAAACACTGCCTTGCGGAACATCACTATTAACATGTACAGGATTTGATAGAGCGCTTCCTATTTTGACCACTTCTTGTCTGTTTGACAGGAAGGCAGCTATCCATTTATGTAGGAGTCCAGAAATGCCATAAGATTTTAGTCTTCAAATGTAGTATAATATAAATGGATAAAATTATGTATGTTGGCATAAAAATTTCCCCATTTCACCTATATCCGTGATGGCGAACCTATGGCATGCATGCCCTAAGTGGCACGCGGAGCCATGTCGCCTGGCACGCACGGTGGCGCCAATTCCTTTTCCAGGTTTCTGGCATACATGCGCGTGTGATAATCAGCTGGCCTTTTTGCGTGCCGCAGTGCTGGAAACTGGAAGAGCCTGTCTTCCGTTTTCCTGCGTGAGCATGCGCACCGGCAAGCTGATCATCGCACACGCATGCACGCCAGAAACCCGGAAGTATAGCTGGCCGGCACACATGTGCGCGCCGGAAACCAAAAGTTCATTTTCAGGCATGCGCATGCGCCCTTGGCAGCTCCTTTTCCAGGTTGCAGCCCCGACGAGCATGCACACTCGGTGCCGAAAAGGTTCGCCATCACTGACCTATACATTAATGGAACTATGCTGATAATGATCAGTCAAGAAAGAAACTTGGAACTAGATTAGAAAGTTCAGTGAAACGTCAATCTAGTATGGACCTGCTGCTAAAAAAATGGTGAATGTATGCTTGGAATCTTGGAAAGAAATTGGGAAAAAAGAATTGGCAATCCCAATAATGCCATTATATAAAATCTATGGTGAGATCACAGTTGGGAGTGTCATGCACCTTTCTATTCAGCACACCTTAAGGAAGATTTTAAGCCTAAAGCCTGACAAAGTACAACGAACAGGCAACATCAGTTGTCCTGTGAAGAAAAACTATAGCAACTGGGCTGCTTAACCTGGAAAAATTAGGCTAACAACAGATGTGACAAAAGTATAGAAAATCATGAATGGCACTGATAACATGGAGAAATAAGGCTTTTGCCCTTTCCTCACAATGAGGATTGAGGGCAGTCATTGAAACAAATTGCACAGAGATTCATGAGCAACAGAAGGAACTCTTATTTCATACAGTCCACAGAAGCCACTGCCAAGATGGATGGTTTTCAAAGAGTATTGGACAGATTCATAGAGAATCAGTAGATTAATGGCTACAAATTCCATTTACAGACAGTATGTCTTAAATACCGGTTTCTGGAAAACAATAGAGAATGATGGCTAACAGATTAGTACCTTTACAGGATTGTAAGCTTCCTGAATATATTCAGCTGGCCATTGTGAGAAACAAAACACTGGAATACATGGGCCTAAGGCCTATATCAGCACAGTTCTTATATTCATACCATGATGAAGTATTTCAAAATAAATTATGAAAAAAAACCTTATTTGCACAGCTTTAATGCCAGCTATATGTCAAACACTGCCCTCTTCTGCCTAAACCAGAAATCGGACTGAGATACTTAAAAGGTGTTAGAAAAAAAAATAAGACAAAAAGTTAAATGAATGGAATGTTTTTACAAAAAAAAAATGTTAAAATACTGTTTTGTTATGGCTATTTTTGTCCAAGGTTTTGTATTTTTTATTACCTGAAATGGAGGAACTCTTAAAATGGCACAGTGAAAGTGAGCTAATTTCCAGTCATAGTGCAGAAAAGAATATAGGGGTAATGTTTTAGTTTTAAAACAATGTTAAATCTATTTTGGGGTTTGCATTATTTCTGCATTTCATGCTCCAAGATGGGGAGAAGGGGCCACCAATTTTCAGCAAGAAGGGTCAGAAGGGTCTGCAAAGACAGAGAAGCAAGTTGTCTAAAACTGTTCTAGAACATCCTATATTCATTTACTGAAGACTTTCCTAATTGCTGCTAACTGCAAAGCCAGAACTTGTGAAAACATTCGATAGGGTGGCAGAGAATAAATAATACACGAAACATGAAAGCTGTTCAGTGTCAACTTGCAAAGCTTTCAAGTTGCCATGAGCAGGAGGGAGGGAGAACTGATGGAGCTGATTGATTTCCCTAACTGAAGCTATATTCCACAGATGCTTTCTTACCGCAATCAGTAGGAGAGTGTTGGGTTTCATAGCCAGCCAAAGTGGTTAATTGGAAAATGTGATTTATGACATGGCCAGGGAGGAGGGGAGAGACAGGGTCATAGGGGAATTTAAATCTACGTGGGATTATTTCTAACTGCATCCAAATATTGCCAAAATGGTGCTCCTAATAAATGACTGTATTTCTTTTGAAGTTTTCTCATGGCTCATGAATTAATTAAGGCATCTTTCAGAAACTTCACATTCAGCCAGCAATTTGCTGTCACTATGTGTGCTGTGTTTTTAGCAAAAAAATATTTATTTATTTTTATTCATTAAATTATTCACTAAATTTCTCAAGACTTAGCCCTCCTTCACAAAAAATTGAAACATCCACTATAAAATATTAAAAAGCAACATAGAGCAGCAATCAAAGCAAGATGGTGACATCCTATTATTCCTCCAAATGACTTTTGAAGTGTTTTGTTTAACCAACTTTTGAAAGACATCTACTGAGGGGGCTAAATTTTGTTTTCAGGATAGGCTGTTCTAGAATTAGAAAGGGGGCATTAGTGAAAAACACCCTTTGCCTTTTCTAGCTCCTAACCCTCTCATTTCAGACGGGACAGCACTAGCAGTTTTTCCCAGAAGAAATACATTGGATGGGCCAACTCTAGTTGGAGGTGTCATTAAAGACAATATCAGTTAGACCAGAACCGGAAACCTATTGGGAGTCAGTTCAAGAGTAGCAATACAAGTATTATATACTCATAGCAACACCAGCCCAAGAATCAGAGAAATGAGTGGCAATAATAGTGTAAGTCACTACAGCCATTGTGCCCCAAGAAAAGATGCAAGCAATGCACCAGTGAAAATCGGCAAAAGCCACACTTTCCACCCAAGCATGCAATAGTAGGTATGATTCAAAAAACGCCTCCAAGTTGCAGTCCTGCTACCTCAAGAGTAGTACTTTTATGTCAAGAGATACCACTTGAAAAGACAAAAATACTGTGATGAACAAACAGCAACTTCTTGCTTGGATTCAGTTTTAGCATGTTTGTCCATCCAGACTCCAGCAGCCTCCAGCATCCCCTCCAGGGATGAGATTTCTACAGTGCAACAGTGATATATAATTAATATCATCTGCCTATTAAGGATATTTCACTTCAAACTGGCAGATGACATTCCCTAGTACTTTCAAGTAGATGGTAAAATGCAGCAGGGAGAAGATGACCAAATCCTACAGTCAGGGGTGAAATGCTACCGGTTCGGACCGGTTTGGCCAAACCAGTAGAGATGTGGTTTGGAGAACTGGTAGCGGAGGCCACGCAAGGTTCTGGCCAGCCACCTGGACATTGTTATTTCCTGGTTTTAACCAGGAAGTAATCTGTTTTTGACCTTCTGCGCATGCGCAGAGGGTCCAAGCGTGGACATGATGCACACCCAATCGAGGCCCCAACAAGGTCATCAACCCAAAAGCAATGCCATCTTGGCCCCATTCAGAACTCTGAATAAAAAGAGTTCAGACAATCTGTTTCTTTTAAAGCATCTTACAGCTAAATCCCCAATGTATTACCTTCCCCCCAAAATAGGTTGCATTTAGCTGTTGAGAACAGTTGGATATAAATAGGCTCCTTCAGGGTGATGGAGCCACAGTCACCTTCAAGGTGGCATTTCCTATCCTAAATCCTTATTACCTCATGGCTTCAGCTCATCAGTACCCTACCATCCCACAGCCTCACAAAGGAATCATGAGCTCACCTTGGGAGAATTTGCAGTCTTCTTTCTGCCTGTTTGTTATTTTTTCGGCTTTATTTATTCTTTTTTTTAAAAAAATGAGTTCAAAGTTAATCCGAGTATACCAGCATATCCCATTTGTTTGACAAATCCTATTTACACAATGACCTAGAATATACTTTTAATCCAATCCTCTCTTGAGGCAGTAACTCTGCCTGGTTGGCTGAACAATCTCCAACATTTGGTTGTTTGAACAACAAAGAAACTCTTTATCTTCCTTAAACATTTTACTATTTAGCACCAGGTTGAGAAACTTTCTTGAGGTCAATAAGAATATATATAACTGAGGTATCATATTAGGGAAGCAGTCAAGCCACCATTTTCAGACCCTCTGGGGCAGTCTAGTTGGGATTAAGGGATTTATACTGCTCAAGGAGAGAAAAACCTAAATTGGCATATAATTATTATGTATAATAATAACATATTATTAATGAAACAAACTTTAAAACATCAGTTCCAATACAGCTGTCTTGGAAGATTGCTTTGTTTCGTTTCTCCATCCTGAGAAAAGATTGTTTCGTCTACTCTTTTATAGAATGTTTTAAATAGCTTTGTCTCTTTGCATTGTGGAACATACATAATCCCTAATTCTACCACATACATAGGATTGTCATTCCCAATGCATTGACAGACATATCTTGCCTATTCCAAGTCCAAGCAGGAGGTTTTGCCAAAATGCTCTGATCAGCTCTCCTGCTCCTTGCGTAGACTTTCCCTTCTTTCCTTTAAAGAAGCACACCCCAAGAAAGACAGCAAAGCCAACAAAAAATGCTGCTCCCTTTCCCTTTCATTGTTTATTTTTTAAAACATCTTGAAAAGCCCGGCTCCACCCCACCCACACAGAAAGTCCAGCCTGCCCGCCCAAGTAGAAAAGCTTTGAATTACTGACTTCAAAGTAGGTTCAGTAGGAAATGTAGATAAAATCCAATGCCACGTACTTTGCTCTTGTGGGTGAAGGGACATGTAAAGAAGGCTCCAGAGTAGGGTGTTGGATGTAGTATCTGTGCCTGCAATAAAAAGGTCTCCAATAATGAAGAACAGGTAATCTTCATTAAAGCTACTTTCCCCATTGATCTTCTTTTCTTCATCTGAATGCACAAGATACATATCAATGAAGTCTCGGGGATGCTGGGCATCCAAGCTTTCCCTGTGCTGTTTAATGATGTTTTTCAAGAAAGCTGTGATATCCAGCACAATCTGCCTGAATTCTCTGAAAGGTCCAAAAGGAAGATAATAGAGCCATGGGCAAATGTTGACCAACAGTACCTGACTATTCAGGCTGAACACCAGTGCACGTGACATAAGATTTAGCATGTTCTTGAACTCAGCATCATCATAATCAAAGCGCCTACCAAAGGCCATTGAGCAGATCACATTGGACACTGCATTGCCAATAATAGGAAAAGGATTGAATTGCTCCTCTCCATGTTTCAGGATCTCATCTTTCACATACTTAAATTCTTCAATGATTTTAGGCTCCAGACTGTGCTTTCCTAATCCAAAGTGACGGAGAGTTGAGTGGGAAAACTTCCTTTGTTTTTTCCACACTGGATTATAAGGCGCAAACACCACACCTGTATGGAGAAAAGGACACTTAAGATGAATCCTGCATTAGTCTAACTCTAACCCTTTTATGCAGCTGATTAAGTGAACTGTAGATCACAAATCCATACACCCTTTAATGTAATTTGTTAGTTGGAAAAGGTGGCCCCAAACTCCTTATTTACACCAGTCTTTTAATTTCGGTCATTTTAGCAAGCCTTTGCTTAGCCGAGTCCTAGCTCAGTTTCTGCCTCCTCGTGGTAAGTATTCTGCAGAATGCTGTAATGTTTACATACTATGCAATTCAGTTGGTTAAAAGTCTGATCTTTCACTGCCTCAAAAAGTGTGCCTATAATAGAAGCCTAAGACTCAGTTCACACATTGTGCTAACTGTGGAGTCCTTGGTGCTCTCTAAATTTAGTTGTTGCAAACGTTCAATTACCAAACTAGGTAACATCAGTAGTAGTAAATAAATCAAGTTTGCTCTCGTTTTATATACTAGTGGTTTGCCCTGTCAGTATTGGTGGGAGTGGACTAGGTAGTTCCTAACTGGGCTGTTTACTGTTAGTTTGCTTATCTGAGCTGGTAGTTTCTTGATTATTTATTTATTTATTTTATTTCTATACCGGCCTTCTCCCGAAGGACTCAGGGCAGTGTACAGCCTAATTAAAAACACAAAGACAGACAATATTTAAAAATAATTAAAATTATTAAATAATAGGCCCAAATTATAAAACCCCGAATTTAAAAACCCAATTTAAAACCAATTAAAATCTTTATATTGATAGCCCAGCCTGGCGGATTAGAGTGTTGTTTACTTATTCATTGTTGGCCTAGTGTTAATCTTGGCCTTAATCATCCAGGTGTTGATTGCTGGTAAAGTGGTGTTTAGGGTGGTCTTTTTGGCTGTTTCTTTTAAATGGGTGTGGATGTTGTGCCTATTGATGGCCTAAGTGCCAAGTGATTGGCATGTGCCGATTGATGGTGCTATGTGCCAAGTGATAGTCTAAGTTCATGATATACAGGAATTTTCTAATCCTTTGTGACTTGGCTTAGTCTAGAACATTTTCCAGTTGAAAATATGGTTATCTGTCTTCATGAACATCAACTAGCAGTCAGAAGATGTCATGACATTTTCTTAATTTCACAACACATAGACAGATTTAACCATGTTTTCAACTGGGAAACATTCTAGACCAAGCCAAGCCCCAAAACACTAAAGAATTCTTAGAAGCCTGACACTCAGACAAATCCGCCATCAATAGGCACACAGAGACAAACAACACTTACTACTATTCAAAAGAGACAATCAAAAAGGAAAAAAAAAAGAAAAAGACCTAAACACCTGCTCACTTGCACAACACCCAGATAAGCAGAGATTAACCCCAAGATTAACCAGCAAGACCACTCCCGCCAACACTGACAGGGCAAGCCACCAGTTTCCTTACTAGCACTGATGGTATTACTCAGTTTGGGAAATGAAACCTCTGCAAAAAAACAACCTGGCTGAGAGAGCATCAAAAGATTCCAGTTTCAACTTGGGGTACAGACATTTGTGCTACTTTATTTTGAAACCATGATTTGTTGGGTGTGTCTAAACCAAATGAGACACACCCACAGGTCAAAATAAAAACAGCTTTAGGGAAGGAGTAAAGGTATCCCTTTCCCTCATTACAGGTGCAAACTAAGGGCTGGGCAGGGGCCTTCAGGACAGGGTAATCTCTCCGGTTGGAGTCTTTCTGCCCCACCAGACCCGGTTCCTGACCGCCCTGCAGCCCCCCCACCCCCGGGCAAGAGCCAGAAGGGTCCCTGATCAAAGCCTGCGCCCCGTCGAACCCACTGCCCGCCCCACACGGCCCCGTTACCCTTCTTCTCGGTGAGCATGGCCACCATGGGCATACTGGGGCGATCGCTGAAGACCTCGGCCTGAGTGACCAGCGCATCGCGGACAGCTTCGAAGTCGCTAAGCACAATGACGTGGCGGCTGCCCAAGTCCATTCGGAAGATGCTGCCGTACATTTTGGCCAGCCCGGTAAGCAGCACATGCATCGGCGTCGGCCCTCCATCCTCGGCTCGGTCGCAGTTCCCTTCCTTCTTGCGGGTCGGGAAGAAGCCGAGGACCTGCAGCCTTTTGGGCAGCAGGGCGAAGGCAAAGTTGCCCACCAGGGGCCAGGGCTTGGGGCCAGGTGGAAGGCGCTGCAGAGTCTGGCGGCCCAACAGCCACCACAACGCCAGCAGCAGCCCGGCGGCTCCGAGCATCGCCGCTCTAACGGTATCTGGTGCTAGAGAAGAAGCCGGCTCCTCCGCACTGGCGACCGCCGCCATCCTGCCCGAGGCAAAGGGCGAACCCAGCAGCAGGTCCAGCGCGGCGCCAACGAGCAACCTGTTTAAGGGGCGTCCGCTATTAGACCATCCTCTTATTCTCCGGGCTATTGTGGACGCGCCTTCGCTTCCCCGGCCGCTTGCAGCAGCTCCTCTTTTGATTGGCTGCCTGCGGGGAGGAAAGGAGCAATGACAGCTCGCAGGAAACTGCCCCCCCCCCCCAAACCCGTGACGTCGTGACTCACAGTGGTGGGTGGGGGCGGGGGGGCTTTTCCCCCTGCTCTGATCCGCCGGAGCTGGAGCGATGCGTCGGCTCGGCCGGGACGCGGCGCGCGCTGTGTTTGCAGCGCGGAAACGGGGACCGCTGAACGGTGGTTGTTAGAAGGCCGTGCAATGCAGCGGCAGCAGTGGGCGCTGATGGGCACACGATAGCGGCCTGCGGAGATCAAGCGGGTCTGCGAAATTGGGGGGGGGGGGGGGGGGTTGGGGGGGGTGTTTGGGGAGGAAAGAGCATTGAGTGAGATGGAGCGAAATAAATAAGTAAAAATAAAACGAGCCCGGGATAAAAAGAAGGAATTCGCGAGATCAGGCACAAGGCAATATATATAAGGGCACCCCACCCCCCACCCCCACACACACATAGATCTCCTTCTCTTCAGCACAAAAATAGAAACCAGGAAAACGGATCTTTCTTTAAAAGCGCTTTTGGACTGGTGGGAAAAGAAGGAGAAATTCCAAATCGGTGTCCTTTTGTTAGCAGAAATACAAATGCAGTAGAAATTGGATACAGCCTTTTCCATCGAAACTGAATTTGCCATCGTAATATTTATTTCCTGATCATTTAGCTAGGCTCCCAGCGCTGTAAACAAGGCAGTTACCATACCACGTTATGCAAACCAGCCCGTTTTTGGCTCGAGGTAGTAGACAAAGCAGGAAATAAGAGTTATGTAAAATCTTGAGTACATAAACTCTGGTAAAAATGAGAGTATAGCCACACCCTAATTAGATCCTTGTTCACTATAAATATTACCGAAGAATCTTTCAAGTGTTCAGGCCCAGCTAATGGCTTTAACACATTCCACGTTTTGGCCGCCAGGCTTTGGTGTGGCCAATAAAGGAATAATAAACCTCTTTCTTAAATTCTCTGGCTGCGTATTAGTCATCCTAGGCTATTAATATTTTAAATACTAGATTTTTTGAAGGATATGTCTACAGTATGTAATCACCATTAAGTCCCATGATCGTTATCCATAAGCAGACAATTTTATGGAAGCCAAGCAAATGTTTTGCAGAAGAAATGTGTGCAGTGGCTTTATCCATTATTAACTAAAATGATTGCTAATTAACATTGTTTTTAGGAATCAACCACAGACTGAACCATCACCAAATTGGTTTTGCCTAACAGCCCAAGCTAAATGTGTGTGTTAGGACTTGTGACGTAATCCAGACAAGAAGGACAATCAAGAATGCTAGCCCTATATTGTAAGGTTTCTGTAACAGAATCATGCATGTCTCAAAGTACTTCTCCCACCCCTCACTTTTATTCTCCCCAAATCCTGGGACTCTGAGATGCTTCTGCATCCCTTCTCCTTCAGACTCAAATATGATTTATTAAACTGTTGTCTAGCTGAAGCTCCTTCTTGTGTCTCCCACGTCTTATGGTCTCTTTATGATCAGACAGTGAATCAAATATTGGGTGCTTGTGTTTTAGCCCAACAGCAGAAGCATACAACCTGAAGGCTACAGAAAGTTTTGCAAAGTATGTGAAGAGCTGCATTCTAGGAATAAGTGAATGGAACATGAACTCGCCCTGACTTTGAACAATAATATTATTGCCCAAGCTTTTGCAAGGCTTAAAGCATCAAATAAGTCTCTATTGAAGCAAAGCCAAACCCTTCAGCTAGCTGAAATTCCCGCTATCCCATTTAGAGGATAATTAGAACTGCAGAAAAAACAATTGCTACCAACCTGCCTTCCATTGAGGACCTGTATACTGCACGAGTCAAAAAGAGGGCTGTGAAAATATTTACAGACCCCCCTCGCATCCTGAATATAAACTGTTTCAACTCCTACCCTCAAAACGACGCTATAGAGCACTGTACATCAGAATAACTACATGCAAGAACAGTTTTTTCCCCGAATGCTGTCACTCTGCTAAACAAATAATTTCCTCAACACTGTCAAACTAGTTACCAAGTCTGCATTACTATTAATCTTCTCATCGTTCCTATCACCCATCTCCTCCCACTTATGACTGTATGACTATAACTTTGTTGCTTGTATCCTTATGATTTATATTGATATTGTTTCCTGATTGCTTATTTGTACCCTATGACTATCATTAAGTGTTGTACCCTATGATTCTTGATGAAAGTATCTTTTCTTTTATGTACACTTGGCCAATAAAAAATTCTATTCTATTCTATTCTATTCTATTCTATTCTATTCTATTCTATTCTATCTACTCTTTCTACTCTACTCTACTACTCTACTACTTCTATCTATTCTATTCTATTCTATTGATTTTTGTGTTCCACAGAACATATACCGATCGAGAATATACATCCTTGAGTGTGCAGGTTGCAGCTCCCTCCCTCCCGCCTAATATGTTGTGCAAAGACAACCCATGTAAAGTGTAAATGATTCAGTGTCTGTATCTGGAAGCATAGTTAAGAGGTTTTTTTGATGTTGTACTTTGCTCTGAAATATACTATTTATTTCTATTAAAATCTTAATAAAATAAAATCAGGCATATTTATCCCAGTGCTTGTTTGCTGACTGTAGGAGGTGCATGGAGTTTGGCTACCCCAAGGGAACTGTCATTGGCATAAGCATTGTACATTTCTAAAATGAAATGGATTTTTTCTAAAAATGTTTTCTTATTGTGTTAAATAAGTTATGAACTGGAGTAAGATTTGCACTTTTGTCAGAGAATTTATTTCAGACCCCAGAAACGGCCCAGGTGCCATCTACTCTGATAACACACTTATGTGTATTACTGTGATCTACACACATTATCCTAATGAATACAGTATGGGGACAGGTTGTGCATTTTGACTGAATTTGATTCACATAGCTGCAGAATCTTCTTTTAGGGAGTAGTTGTGAATAGAAGAGTATCTTGGAGAAAAGATACTGAGAAACATAAAAGTTAGCAACCCATGCATACATGGACCTGATAACAGGATGAGGCATGTATTGGGATGGGGCATGTATGGGTCACACGATGCCCACAAGTGCTAGTGTGTGTGCTATCCCCACAACAACAGGATACTGATAGCTTTCCAAAATAAACTACTAATTTAATAATAAAGCTGGCTGGTATGTTGCCAGCTTTGGAGATCAAACAAGATTTCTTGCCATTTTGCTGGTGAGCAGGTTAGGGAAGATGCCTAGCCCATTGCACAAAACTGTATGATAGCCCTGGAGGCCTAAGGGCAGCCCCTTGAGGCCAGCATTAGGTTCCTATAGTCCACAATATAGGCATACTAAATATAATACAATCTTGCGATGTATGTTCTATAGCAGTGTTGGCAAATCTTTTTGGCACCGAGGGCTGAAACGGGAGCGCATGTGTGCATACGTGTGTGCCGGAAACCAGAAGAGCAGCCTCCCGGTGTACATGTGCATGCCGGGTGGCTGCTTTTCCAGTGCACGCATGCGTACCAGCCAGCTGGTCCTTGCGCGCACATGCACACCAGAAACCAGAAGACCAGGCAGCAGCTCTTCCAGTTTCTGGCATTAGCATGCGCACTGGCCAGCTGGTCTTCGCATGCGCACATACACAACAAAACCAGGTGGCCAGTGTCCATGCACGCGCCAGAAACCAGAAGAGTGCAACAAAACCAGAAGTGCGCACAGGGCGGCTGCTCTTCCGGTTTCTGGTGCTCCTGCACATGTGAACACCAGCTGGCTGGTGCGCTGGAACCCAGAAGAGCAACTGGTAACGGCTCGCATGCCCGGAGAGATAGCTCTGTGTGCCACTTACTGTAGGTTCGCCATCACAGTTCTATAGCAACTGGTATTCAGTGCATTCTTATAATCAGCTAAATACATGGACATGACCAATAGCCATTGCTCCTTTGTCTGTAATAAAAGCAACCCATAGAAATAAATTGTGTCCTGTTACTTTGAATCTATAGGACAGTGATGGCTAACCTTTTTGCCATTGTGTGCCAGGAGGGGGGGGGAGGGGGGATCACATGCACACATGCCCACACCCATAATTCTATGCATCCCGCCCCCGCGCATGCACGCCTGACCTCCCTGCTTCCCCCCGCTTCTGGCATGTGATGGCACGGTGAGCCTGGTAGGCCTGTTTTTCTCTCTTCCCAGGCTCCAGAGCCTTTCTAGGAGCTTGTGGAGGGCGAAAATGGCTTTCCCCACACACCCCTGAGGCCCGGAAATGGCCCGTTTGCCTCCGGAGGGTCTCCGGAGGGGTGGGGAAGGCCGTTTTCACCCTCCCCAAGCTCCTAGAAAGGTTCTGGAGCCTGGGAAGAGAGAAAAACAGGTCTTCCCCACCACCCTCCGAGACCCTCCGGAGGCAGGAAACAGCCTGTTTCCCTACTTTCAGTGGGCCCAGAAGGTCCAAAAATGAGCTGGCTGGCGCACGTATGCACTCCGGAGCTGAGCTTGCGTGCCCATCAATATGGCTACGTGTGCCACCTGTGGCATACGTGCCATAGGTTCACCATCACGGCTATAGGACATTAAGATTTATAGGTCATGCCCTTTTTTGTTTTGAGCTCCATGACAATTGTAATACATTATATCAATTGTTATTTTGTCCTATTCTGTACAGCACTTTATTATACATAAAAATCACTTAAAACTATCTTCATTTTGTTTCCTTCAATAACCTGTTGTTAAAAGTCTGCATAATATCCATTTTTAAGTTGCATTGACCAAGTAATATTGATATTCCCAGTATAATTGCATATTAGTCTCTAAAAGCAGTTTTTTAAAAATATTATACTTTATTAAAGAAACACATACAGAATAACAGATATTAACATTTTAAAATAATTTTAAAATAGATTAAAATATACTAGCAATTAGATTAAATTACAAATTTAGACCAGTTTAAAAATGCGATTTCCTAAAAGATTGTGAAAACTTTATGCTAGTACCG